GAGGAGGCTGCGCCGGGGCCGGGCAGCGCGTTGCGGGCACAGAAGGCCGGGGCAGGGCTGGGGTGTGCTGCCCGTTTAGGGGGAGCGCTGCCATATTTTGGGGGTGTTTGTGGGCTTGGGGATGTTGCCGGGTTTGGAGGATGCTGCTGCCATCTTTTGGTGTGTTTGGGGGTGTTGCTGGGTTTGGGGGATGGTGCCAAGTGTAGGGGGTGTTGCCAGTTTGGGGAGTGTTTCTGTGTTTCGGGGTGTTTCAGGCTTTGGGGACTGCTGTGAATTTTAGAGGGTGCTTTTTGGTGTGGTGGTGTTTTGTGGGGGGTTGTTGCCAGGTGGGAGGGTGTTTCAGGGTTTAGGGTTGTTTGTGGATTTGGGGAATGTAGCCAGGTTTAAGGGGTGTTGCTGGGTTTGGAGGATGCTGCCACGTTTAGGGGTGTGTGGGGAGGTGTTCTGGATTTGGGGAATGCTGACAGTTTTAGGTGATTTTGTGGGGTTAGGTGTGTTTCTGGATCTGGAGTGTGCAGACAGTTTTGTGGGGGTGCCACCAGGTGTGGAGAGGGTTTTAGGTTTCGGTGTTGTGTCTGGATTTGTGGAATGTTGCCAGCTGTTGAGAGTGTTTCTGGGTTTGGGGGTGTTGCTAAGTTTGGGGGTGCCATGTGTAGGGGGTGCTCCAGCCAGCCAGTGACATGAGCGCTTGTGATTAATGCAGAGCTGTTTTCTGACCTGAGAGTGTGAGCTTTGCAGCTGAGCTATTTCCCTGCTGGGTTCATCCCTTTCACCCTGAGAAGAGCCAGAGGGCTCATTCAGTAGCTACTGGACAAAACCATGTTTACTGGCCTAGTTTCTGACCCTTGTCATCTGTCTTGTATTGGCTCGATTTAAGATCTAGCTTTGCCCTTGTTATTTATTCTGCCCTTTTGCTGGAAGCTGCTTTCCTTTGGCAAGGGAAGGGAGTTTAACCCATGGCCAAACTCAGAGCCAGGCATGTTTGCTGGAGTTGATGGGGCTGGATTTGCGTTAACACAGTGATTCACAAGTCCGAGTGGTGAAGGGGCAGATGTGTGTCCCCCTGCACTACCGTTCCTCTGGCCTGTTGCAAGCAGCATCCACTTCAATGGAAGAAAAAAATCCCTGGCAAGGGAAACACTGCCAGCCAGTGTATTTTGTACAAGGCTGAGCACTGGTGGTAGTTGTGCTGCGCTCTTAGGCTGGGTATTCAGGTCATTTCAGCAGCTGGGTTACAGGGCTAGCCACCCTTGAGAAAAGCTAGGAGCACCCTAAGGTGTTTTTGACTTGCCATTTTGATGTGAAATCATGCTTCTTGTGCTAAAAGTACTTTTAGGATGATGCACATTTTGCTGGGTGTTCTGCTTTGGCAGGAAATGATGTGATTCTGTTTACAGTTTGTTTTATTCCTTTGCTGTTTTAAATCTCATGCAAATCATTCAGGGATAGAGCCTGATTTTTGCATTGTTCCTGCCGTTTTGCTCAGTAGTGCTGTATCAGGGAAGTAAGGTAGTGTTCTTGTGTTGCTAGTTGACTGGGTAGCTCTGGAGGAAAAAGGCTTTAAGAAATCCTATCTTAAGTCTAGCTGAAGCTTAAGTGATCTTCTGTCAGTAGGCTTCCTGTGGCGCTTACATCACTTGGCAAGTTCCCTGACTTTTCTTGGGTTCACCTTAGTTTCTGTTCTGTGTGAAACTGGTAGCAAGCATTTAGTTCCTGCAGTTGCTGCTTCTATTGTATCTCTGTTACTTTTTGCCACACAGCGGTTTGTTAGACAGCTGTCTGCTCAAGGACACTTCTAGTGATAGTTGGCTATCTGGATAATCAGAAACGGGAGAGGTATATAAGCTAACATTTTTAAGCCGGATAGAACCGGCAACTTGAATTTATTTTTCTCTATCAGCTTTGCTTTAGTCCTGTTTTGTCCTGACACATGACAGATTGACTCTGATAGCATGTCTGTCTGTATTCTGGTGATACCAGGAAAGATCTTGACTCTTTAGTGCTAGGTTTTCACTGTAAACAGTTTTGTGAACTTCTACCTACATACCCTCTTGTCCCTATAAAACTAAGGGTCTCAGAGTCTTTTGTTTTGTAATCAGTGGTATTCTTCTTTTAGTCTGGTTTATCTGCATTTCTTCCTTTCTTCGCTGAATAATCTAATAATTTGTTAACAAGAAAATTAAGCAGGTATATATTCCTATCTTAAAGAACACAATATGGGAGAGAAAGGTGGAAGTGCCAAAATGCAGTGTGGCTGCTGATTTCAGCTGTCTTTGACACTGCTGATTTCTGTAACCCTGTGCTAGCTCAGTGCTTCTAGGTCATACTCAGTACAAAGGTTGCCTGTGTTGGTTGTCTGAGTTGGTTTTGGTTGTGCCTTTGGTTGGCGTGGAGTCTGTGTGTTTGGCTGGAGTATGGCTAAATGCCTTATTTGCTAGGCTGATTTGTCCACTTTGAGAAGATTTTGAGCTGTTGGACAGGTGGAATTGAGAGCCTGCTTTGCTCAACCTCTTGGGCTCTTGCATGATGTTCTCATTAGTACAAGGACTCTGATTATTATTTGGCTTATCCCTGTTGTTCAGTCCAGGTGCATCTAACTCCAAGAAGGGTGGAAGTGTAAAGGCAGGATCCTCTCCAGGAAGCTTTGTTCCAGGTATCTATCTGTCTTATGTCCACTTGGGAATTGGTGCCTGTGAAGAATGACGTCAAGAGGTGCTGGGACTGCTTTCTCGAGGAAGAACTACAGGCTGAGCACTGAGCCAGAGAAGTCCAAGGTCACAGGTACGGGCCTGTGCATGCCATGTAGAAGCAGGACCATTGCAGATGAGCAGTAAAGACCTCCTGCCTCTCTTTAGGTCAAGTGCCTTCTGGGTGTGGTGAGGCTGGAAATGGGTAAACCCCCTGAACAGAGATGAGATGTTGGGAGGGCCATTCCTGTAGTGCTGAGAACTCCACCAGAAGTTAATGCCTCAGTGCCCTTTCTTCAGCACACAGCTGTGCCTCTTGAGGCCAGAGAGGCGGTGTTGCCTGTCCTTGTCCAATTTGATTCAGGTAGTTCCCCTTCCAGCGTGGACGGCTTCTCTAGTTCTCATAATCCATTTCTGGGAAATCTCTCCATCTGCTAGGCAGTCCCTTTTCTCTTGGACTGACCAATCTGGCAGAGGTGTGCTTATAAGACCAAGAGTCTGGTATTTGAGGTTTCTGTTGCATCCAGTAATTAAGGTGCATCAATATGATACTAGGGACTGTTTTGCACAACAAAAGCTAAAATGAGGCATACACACATCATTAGAGAGAACTGTGGGTTAGATTAGATGAGATGCCTCTGCAAGCCCTTCTATCTCAGCAGCTTCTGTAGTGTAGTTAGGAGATGGAGGTACATAAAACATTCAGGGTATGAACACCGCATCAGGAATTGCAATAGTGATAAGGATTTTTTTGTTTGTTTTACTGAAATTGGATTCCTGCCTCAAGCTTCTGAAGCCTACATTTTCGGAAAGTAACACTGCAGGATTCTCAAGGGTGTAGTTGTACCTAGGAGGACCAATTTATAGCCTCCCATTTGCTATAGTAGACCGGCTAAAATCAGAAAGAGCCCTTGTCTTGGAAAGTCACCCAATAATGCTGGACTCTAGGGCTGCTAGTGAAGACAGTGAAAGGATGAATGGCTTCCTGAAGCTGCATTTTTCACTGCGGTGATCTGCAAACTTGAACATCATTTCTCAGTTATCAGTTTCTTGCTTGTACTTAAAATTAATGTTTCTGAATTTACCTTCCAAATCCTAAAGCTTATTTTGCTTCTGTTTTTCACAAGGGATTGTGAACAGCAGGTTACTGAATGATTATCTGCATCGCATCTTCACTAATGCTGATGGGATCCAGTCTGCAGCTGCTTACAGGTAGTGGACTTCTCATTCACTAGATGGCAAATGATGCTGTATCGGTCCCCAGATATGCAATACGGTGGTGAAAGGAGAGATCTTTTAGTGCCATGCAATGATCTTGCTTAAAAGCACAGTAATGCCGTGTTGCGGAAATGACTTTTTGTTCGTATCATTCAGTGACTTTTTCAGGGGCTTTGCAGGGCTTTCCAGGAAGGATTCTTCAAAAATTTCTTTGTGTAAAACCTCATATATGTAATCACTAGGCAATACTTTTGCAATAAGCAGTCAAGTAGGCATTGACCTTATCGTTCCTGTTCTCCCTCTACTTGTAAAGGTAAATAGAAGTGCAAAATGCACAGGTTTTAGGTGCAGTAATGAAAACTAGGTCATCAGTGCCCTGTAAGGTTATTACTGACGTATCAAATACCAGACATTTCTCAGACTGTGTAACTGTTGGTACTTCTCTTTCTAGGAGCCACCAAAAGAAAAAAAAATGTAAGGTTTCTGTTTAGCGTCTGTTCTTTTTCTATTTGTTTTCAATTTTCCTTCACCTTGTAGCCCAGAAACTTGTAGCTTTGGCTGAGAAAAATTTCCCTTGCATTTAGCTGTTTCTGCAGAGGCAAGTCAGACAGGTTCAGGGCAAATACAAGTGTTATAAGAACAAGACAAGCCTGTAGCTCCTGCTGACCAACCATGCTGCAGAGCAGCTGGGGTCACATTCCACGGGCTATACTTAGCTGCTGCCAGCTCAAATGTGAACTTAGAGCTGCTAAAAATAGCTCTTGGTCCTCTTGGTGAGCTAAGGTTTTTGCAAGGGGGGAGGCAAGGCAGGTCATATTACTTTGTCACAAGCTCTCCTGCCTGCAAGCCTTGAAATATTCCATTTACCCAGTTTGGGTTTTCAGTACTTCTTTTTCTTTGCCCAGTGATTAATGACTTGAAAGCACAGAAGTGATAGTTTGTTGGACTGGTCTCTCTCCTTTTTTTTTTTTTTCCCTCTTTTCTATCTTCTTCCCTGAACTTGACTATTTGGTAGAAAGCCCAGAAGCAGCCAAGTAGGCCTTGAAAATAAAATGTCCAGTATGGGAGCAAGTTTTATAGTATGAGATCTTGTCCTTGGAGGCCTAAATACTTCACAGCGGAGCTTGCTGCAGACATGTCTAGCCATCTTATGCTGCTCTCACCTCCTTCTAGAACTCCTTCTCTGTGCTAGCTGAAGGTTGATTAAGTTGCTTTGTTGAAGGTAGCACCTCTCACACCAGCCAAAATTGCTTCTTTGATTCCACTTCTGTGCATCTTCACGTCCAGCATGCTTTCAAAAGGTCTCTCACCATAGTGTTTTAGGGACACCTCTAGGCCTGGAGAGGAGGGAAGGTTGTTCCACAAATGACTTTAGAAATAGGAAGCAGGCACAAGAGTAACTAATGGCTCCTACAACAAAGGGAAATCCTCCAATGTAATCTGTGTTGTTGCCTGTATACTTAAGTGGCTTGAAAAGAGAGAGTGTGAGGTGGCAAAGTTTGTTGCTGTTATGAAGTTATTTAGAACAGTGAAAATGCAGGGTGGCTGTGACACAGTGACTGAATAGTGAAATGGTCAGTGAAACTCAGTGTAGGGGAAAGTAAAGTGAGGTATTGAAAAGGGAACAGCCCCAACTTTGCACGTAAAATGATGGATCTTGAGCTGATTGTTACTGCTTAGGAGTGAGACTGTGGGAAAATAGAAATCTTAGTCTTTAATAAGTCAGAAAAAAACAAATAGAAAGTTAGGAATTCTTAGGAAAGGGCTGTAGGACACAGAAGATCATTGTGCTGCTGAATGAATTAGTGGTTTGCCCTCATCTTGAGTAATGTGTGATTCTGTTCTCACCAACTTCAAAAGGATATTTTAGAGCTGCAAAAGCCTTGGAGAACAGAAAGAGCACCAGTCACAAGTCTGGAATGGCTCCTGTACAAGGAACAGCTAAGTAAACTCAGTCTTAAAAAAAGGGAACTGGTTGCGGGGGTTGGAGGGCTGATATCAGGAAGATCTCTAAAACAGTTAGTGTCCTGGAGAGGGTGCACGAGAGAGAGACTTCTTCAATACAAAAAGCATGAAGAGAGAATGTTTTTCACTGTAGTCAGAGAGAGGATGCTGAGCTAGATCAACCTTTGTCTGACCTGGTACGTTCTTCTCTCTTGTTTCATATTATGAGGTCCTTTAGGAAAAGAAATAATCCTGACTTATGCTGTGGTTGTACAGTGCTGACCACAGTAAAGTCCTAGTCTGTATGATAGGCTTGTTATTTTTCTTACTGCCACAAAATACTCCTGAGCAGCCTGAAGACTTTAAGATCCTTTATTAACTAGTTTGCTTGCTCACACAGTATTTTGTCCTTGGTTCATCCGTCGTCCCAGCACACTCTGTGTTTCTGACAGGAAACACAGATAGACAGAACTTTCTGGTTCACATCCAGCAGTGCAGGACAGTGCTGACTCACATGTCTGGGCTGAAACTCTAAAACTTGAAGAACAGATAGTTTTCAGAAAAGTTCCTGTGTGTGTTTATTCCCTAGAAAGCATCTGACGTTCCAGAACCTGCAGGAGCACCTTGACCGATTGCTAGCAGAGGAAAACGGCTTTGAAGACAGTCGAGGTAGGAGATACTGAGTGTTTGTCCAGTTTGTGCTTCCTCGTGTACTGCCTTACTGGGAGGACAAGTTGTTTTATGAAAGGCAGTTTCCTGAGTGAGCATTGTTCTGCCCTTCTGTGCTCTCATTTATCATCTCTTTAAATCCTGCCTGCTCATCCGCTATCCCTGAAGTAGGTCTGCTTGTAGCTGGAAGAGGCATATTTCCAGGCAGGCTGTTGACTGGTTGCTTTCAAAACAGTTTTGGGGCTAATATTGGTGATATTTTACTGATAATGATGGGCTAAGCCCTTGCTGTGAGCAGTTGTGGAGTACTGTTCTCACTGGAAAAGGCAGAGGCTTGTTGATGATTCCTAGGAACTGCTTCCCTGTGGGTGTTTCTTTTGGGCCTCAGTAGGTTACCTGTATTCTTGCTCACATCTGTTCCCCTTTATGAATTAGGATGTGGCAGAATACAATCTGGCTCTTTTTCTAAAAAGAAGATTTTTTTCTTGCTGCCTGTAATCAGAGCCTGGCTTGTTATGTGATACATTGGCCAAACATTTGGCTCTGAGTTTAGTTTGGCCTTTGAACTTTGCAGGACTAAATTTTTCAGGTGACATGGAAAACTTAACGTATGACCTGACTGCTGCATAGCCAAGACCTTATGTGTTGTTGTGAAAATTTCCTTTTGAATCTCTCTAGCGTCTCCTTTCCTGCGGTTCCTGTGGTCCGTGCTAACACTATTTTAGTCTTCTTCCACTGTAGTAGAATTCAGGTGCTGTTGTAATCTAGCTGGTGGCACTCATCAGCTGTACTGTTAAATCCTGCACAACCTTCCCTAACAGGTTTTCCTGCAATTCTTCTTTCAGACCAGGTAGCAGAGGGCCGGCTTGGCCCCTCTACTGTGGTGTTGGACCACACAAGCGGTTTTGAGGGCCTCCTGCTGGTTGATGATGACTTACTTGGGGTGAGTGTGATGCGGATGCAGTAGGAAATGGTCCCGTAGGACTAAAGGCAGTTTGGGTTTCTCAGTTTGTTCCTCCTACCGGATCCCTGTTACTGACTTTGGAGCATGTTATTAAATGGAGTCTAGCAAGGAAACTGAGGGATCCTGGAGGACCCGGGCTCTCTGGTGGGAACAGGTCTAGCAGTACCCCTTAGTCTTAAGAAACCCCGAGTGGAGCTGTGGGAAAGGGGAAGTGTTCACTGGATCTGGGGCTCACTGAAGAGCTTGGCTAAGTAGGGGAAGGGACAGCAGTCAGCTTTCCTGTCCTTCCCTCCAGCAGACTGCCTATTCCTTCCTTCCTTCCAGTCTTCTTTAACAGTGGTGAGAAAGTGAGGATGAGGCCAAGCCCCAGTGCTGTTCTGACAACTTCCTTTCTCCTTCATTCCTATTGAGTTCCATGGTTGCTCCTTTTCATTCCTATTGAGTTCCGTGGTTGCTCCTTAGCTTTTGTTCCTCCTACAGAGAATCAGTATCAATAGAGGAATCCTTTCCTACTTCAGCAATTTCTGCACTCCTTTCACCCCTCACTGAGCACATACTGCGCTTTAATCCCTGTGTCCTTCTTTTCTCAGCATGATCTCCCATTTCCCTTTGACCACACATTCCTTATCTTGGTTGTACCTGGAACTTACTCCCATGTCAGATCAGACTGGCTTGCCTGTAAATTCACTGCTACTACCTTCATCTCTTCCTTGTGGTCTGTCCTAAGATTGAGAGAGTCAGGAGTTAACAGTGTATCTGTGCAGCACATTAAATACCTGCTATATATAATTTTGTTTTAACTTGTCTGGGATTCAGCTATCTTTCCTAAATAATAGTCACTTTTGTATACTGTCATGATTCACTGGGAACCTATGTGATACCATGTGGCCCTTGTTCTGCTGCTGTGCTGCAGTGCTTCACTGGGATTTACCAAGCACAGATGAGCTGTTGGGAGGACCTTGGATGGTTCCCCAGGGCCTATTGGCTCTGCCTGCAGCTGCTGGGATGAGAAAGATGTACGCCTCTTACCTGTGCTGTGCTCTGTGAATAGTTTTGCATCCTGTCGTTTCTTTAAGGCCTAGGATGGAAGGAATGAGTAGGGCTGGGCAAAACTGTCTTTTTGCCTACCTTTAAAAATCTTTTGTTTATTGGTCCAGGTGATTGGCCACAGTAACTTCGGCTCCATCAGGGCCACAACGTGCGTGTATAAAGGTAAGCGGATAAGTAGGTGATACTTTGAGAAAAAGACCCGAGAGAGTGTGTTTTGAACAACTAGAGAGCTCAGGAAATCTTGAATGCGCTACAGTTCCAGATCTGGATCCCCTTTTTCCCCAGTTCATCCACTATCTTTTCCGGAAAGTTGGAAGGACAGAGAATTGTGTGTTGCCAAAGTGAAGAGGTTGGGAGGGGATTCCTGAAACTCCTTTGTGTGTCGCATTCTTTTCTGTGGGGGCAGTGTAAGATGCTGCTTCTCTAAAGCAGGCCAGGTGGCATGGATTTAGTGTGTGGCACCTTTCTTCCATTTCCAGGGAAATGGATCTATGAGGTGCTCATCTCCTCCCAAGGACTCATGCAGATTGGCTGGTGTACGCTCAACTGCAGATTTAATCAGGAGGTATTGTAACTGCTGCACACAGCACATGGCTACTCTCTGCTTTTTAGGTCAGTACGGAGCCCCACATTGGCACCATGCTCCTGACCTGCTGGTATTTTGTACCCACCATGTTTAGTAGAAATGCCAGGTCTGCTGCTAACTAACAGGTCTTTACTAGGCTCTCTGCTCTGTGTTTGCAGAATGGCGCGTAGTGTGAGAGCCCTGCACACGGGGTGTGTTGCTGTGCTTTTGCTGCACGTAGCCACTGCTCCATGTATGTGTTGCTTTTTGGCTGGCATCTTCTCAAGAGAGCATGCAGGTCTGCAGTGCAGGCAGCTTGTCTAAGGGTGACCCTCAGCAGCCAGTGCTACGGAACTTTTTGTCTCGGAGAGGCCGACCCAGCTCAACTCTTCCCAGGCGCTGGATGGGATGTTTGATTTACTTATTCATATTTATTGTGATTAAGGCATGTCAGCTGCAGAGTTTCACTGACTTGCCACTCCCCAGTGCTGGAGAGGGGAGGTGATGGGCATCCTTGGGGGCTGCTTTAATAGAAATTAGAAATGCAGTATGCCAGCATTCTTCTTCTGACCCAATAATAAGTAGGGAATGTTGTATTTCTCTGAAGCAAAGGTCATAGGCCTTTGGTTTCATTCCTACAATAGGGGCTTTGCCCAGGCAGAGCACGAGTGCTGTCAGCTGCTCTCCCTGTCTACTGGTCCCACTGTGAAGCAGCTTTTGCAGTGGGAGGGGTCCTCTGTTTGTAGCTCTGTGCTTGGTCAAGTCTGAGTCTCCTCTTTTACGCTTTGTTGCAGGAAGGAGTTGGAGATACACCAGATTCATATGCTTACGATGGAAACAGAGTGCGCAAGTGGAATGTGACCACTACCAACTATGGCAAAGTGAGTAGTCATCCAGGGAAGAGAGATACGGGTATATAGTGAAGAGAAGAAAGCCAGCAGCTCCTTTCACTCGCTGGATTCTGCTGGGTTCTGTAAAATGCCCTTGAGCTATTCAGTATGTTTCAGTTGGCTCTGGGGGAAGCTACATGCCAGCATTGATTTGTACCAAACAGGTGCTAGACGTGCTCTGTGGGTGCTTTGTTTAGCAGCCCCAGCAGATTGATTCCCAGCACAGTGCTGCTGTTTGTCTCTGGAAGGCTTTAGTTCTTTGTAGCATATCAGAGGATGGTGCAGTGTTGAGGCAAATATAAGTCTGATCCTGGTGCTGGAGGAAAAGAATATCCCAATCAGTGACCTTTGTGCAGCTCCCAGAAGTGCCAGAAAACACTACATGAGCTACTGTGAGACAGAACTGTCCCTCCTTGCACCCTAAATCACAAATGGTTGGCTGGGTTGCAATCTTCCTTCTGGTATGGGAACACCCTGGGTAAATGTCTAACCTTTTTTCTCCTTTTTCTGCAGTCTTGGGCAGCAGGTGACATCGTCAGCTGTCTGATAGACCTTGATGAGGGTACCATTGCTTTCTGCTTGTAAGCAACTTTGCCTAGTTCCCTGCTGTGCTGATGGCTATGTGTAATACAAAGGTTTCCTCACTGCTCAGCAGGTTGCTGGGCCCTACTTCTGCCCTCTCCCCTTCAAATTCCTTTAGTTCCAGTCTTTGCTTATCTGCTTTGTGTTCAGAAGTGATGTAAAGGGGATGCTGAGTGTCCTAAGTTCAGGTGAGAGCGGTTGGCAGAAAATTGCTCAAGTTGCTAAGTCTGTGTAGTTTGCTAGGATTTTGGAGGGGAAGGCATCTTCCATGATTCTAATACCACAGTTAGCCCAGCCACACTGATTGCTTTTGCGGCCAGCGTAGGCTTTGCCTGTCCTAGACCCACAGGGAGTTGTGGAAAGGCTGATAGATTTCCAAACTCCATCTCTAGTGTAGAGTGAGCAGCAGCCAGGTTAAATAAGAATTGTTTCTGGACCCTATACTGCAGCCTGAAATAAGTCATCCTGAATTAAAAACTGTCAGATGCTTGTTAGCATCTTTTAGAGAAGAGAAGAGTAGATTGAGAACGCTGACATCAAACAGATTAAGCCAAAAACGTCACCTGTCTTTAAAACATCCTACTGGTCAGATATCTCTTAAGGATCTGGGTTGCCCTTGAAGCTGACCACAATATGACCAGCTGCATATTGTGTAGACTCCAGAGCCTTCCTGTGCCATCATATGGAAATGTATTTCTGGGGAACTTGCTCAGCAAAGCTGGGATGTTTTTGTATGTGCCAGGTCAAGACTAAGGAGAGGCATGACTGACTGATGTGTCCATGTTGGCAGACTGCTGGGAGGGGAATGGAAGAATATCTGGGTTACCTAGGTGACCTCAAAACCCTCCTAGTGTGGCTAAAATCTTGTGGGTTTTCCTTCTTTCAGGAATGGCATATCTCTGGGAACCGCTTTTGATAACATCACAAGGGGTGCTGGAATGGCTTACTTCCCTGCCATCAGCCTCTCGTTCAAAGAGTCTGTTGCTTTTAACTTCGGCAGCCGTCCACTCCGATATCCTTTGGCTGCAGGGAGAGGAGGTTTGAAGGGGAAAAAGCCGGTCCTGGGACCATGCTTGGAAGCTGTAGAATATACATACCTGAGTGCAATCCACTTCCTTCTCTTGGCACTTCTGCTCAGAGTAGGATCAAAGAGAGAAGAATCAGACATCCCTCGACTGGAATACAACTGCAGGGCATGCAAGCAACATTGCCAACCCCTGACAGTTTCTAAAATGAGAATTGCTTTCTACTCTGAATCGACAGCTAATGCAGTAGCAGGGGGGTGCCTGTTCCCAGGCACTCAGATTCTGCCAAGATCTCTCTCCTAATGCAGCTGTGCTTCTAAGCCTTGTAGTCTGGGGTCTTTTCTACCTCCCAGCCACACAGGACCTCTGACGTGGCAGGAGGGGTGCCTGCTGCTTTCCTATGCGAAAGCTGAAACCTGCAGCTCCTGTCAGAGCAGTCCTGAATGTGCCTGTTGATTAGCTGTAGTGGAGGCTTCTGTCAGTGTTTCTGATGAGAGCATAAGTGGGATCTGAAATATTTGCTGCTTGCAATATTGAGGAAGTGAGGAGAAGAACACATGACTTGTCAGCCATTTGGAAACGTACTGTGGTGTGAACTGTGACCGAGGTACGCATGAGTATAAAGTGAAGTAGAGGTATGCCCTTTTTCTTGCATGAACACAGGAAGACCTGAAAGGATCAGCTTGCATTTTACCTTAACACTTGCTTACCTATCCAGTGGAAGGCTACCGCCCCTTGCAAGATCCTCCTGTTGCAGACCTAGTGAAGGCTCGCAAGCTGTTATGCTATCTGAAGAACGTGATCCATATTGGGATAGATGTGACGGTAGGCTTGTGATATTGGGCAAGACTGTGATGCACTGTGCTGGGAAATGTGTTTCTGCACTTCTCAGCACATGCTGACAGCTCAGATGCTTCCAGATAGCTGAGAGTCTAAACGCTTGTAAGCTTTTGCATGGGGTATGCACATCCTTGGAGCTCTTCAGCCTGCAAGATGGGATTCCTAATAATTCCATCCTGAGGGTTAGGTCAACTCACATTGCACTTTATCTTTCTCAGTTCTGTAAAGTTTCTTCCCTGGTATGCAAGGGGTCATGTTTGCTGCGGTCAGCCATGCAAGAAACTCGACCATAGCCTGAGCTTTTTACTGGGTGTCCTGCTACAGTGATGTATGGTGAAATTCTGGCAGGTCTAGCCTTGAAAACTGTTTTGACCATAGCCCTGCCTACTAAAAACCATTTTTTTCCCCACTACGATGAGAAATGAAACGATTATGCCCAAAGCATAGGGAGTGCCATCTGCTACGGTCTAGGCTTGAATGGAGGCCTGGTTTGCACGGTGACCTCCTCTGCAGAGATTTGCATCTACAATAATCTTATGCACTCGAACCATTTTGGAAAAACGGGTCACTGAGGTGCGTGCATGGGGCTGATATTAACTGACATCTGGACTGAGCTGAAGCTCGCCAGAGGCATGGGCCTGGCTACTTTGCCATTCTAAACTCCCACATTCAAGCTTTCTAGTACAGTTGGGCATAGGATAGCAAATAGCGGCCGTTTCAGGCCTCCAACTCATTCAGTTGTTGGCTTTTGGGTCCATTGGGCTGGATCTAAGCTGTGTGTTCCTCTGGGTCTGTCATTGCAGGAGGGGAAGCTGGTGGAGAAGGACACATCCATATGGCAACTGCAGGGAGAACCCACAGTGCTGATTACATTAGCCCACATATTCAATTACTTTGCTCCTCTCATGGTGAGTTTTGCTTGCCCGTTGCAAGCTTCTGAAGGTAGCTGTTGCTGTGCTTACAAGAAGAGGCAAACCCGGTCTCAGCCTTTGCTAGGAAGTGACTGTGCCTTGGAGGACTGTTGACCTGGCTCTCTGTCTGTAGTGCAAGGTGTACCTGGTGGAAGATGTGCTTATGACCTTCCTGTTGAGTATCCTGGAGCGAGGAGGAGCAGTGGAGGCCCACCCCCTTATCCAGCAATTGCTGGATCTCATGTGGCTTCTCATGGAGGTGAGTTGTTAGGGTGCTGGTTCCTCCTTAGGGATCACAGGGAGAGCATGAGAGGTGCTGAGAACAGGAGCCTTCCCTGGTAAATGCTAGTAGTCATCAGCTTCTCTCCCTTCCTAGTGACAATATTCCTATTTTGTGATAGACCATCATCTCACCTGGCTGCTGCTCCAAGCCTGGGGAATGAGGATTGAATACAGAGTAATTGATAATGGTGATACTGGGAATTACACTAGCAAGGCATTTCTAAGCTTCTCTTATTGCTAGAGGAACTGGTGATATTGAGTAAGCTCCTGCTTCTGTGAACATCAAATTCATCAGTAAGAGATGAGTTGTTCCCTTGAACATTGTTCATGCTTGTGTGACCGTGGAGATCTTAGAAGCTGGCATGTGCTGCAAGAGATCAATCAGGTGTGCAGGACTGGGATGGAAACAGGCATCACAGTCTCCCCACTTAGTGCTGCTGGGGAAGAAAAGCCTTCCAGCTTCCTGTGCCTTTTTCTGTCCAGTCTGAATGATGGGTCACTCCTTCCCTGTTCGCTTGTTAGAGCTGACATTTGCTAGCCACTGGGGAGCTGCTGCTACTGGTATGCTGGAGCTTTTGCATGGAGCCAGTCACTGCCAGAAATCTGCTTGGTGACTGGCTGTCTGTCCTTTGGTTTGCTAGTTCTTGCTCAGTCCTTTGGTAACAGTTAGTAGAAGTGGGCCTTGGCCCATCCAGCTGTCATGAAAGTTTCACTGAAAAATTTCACGCCTACTCTCCTAGAAGTGAAGCCAAAAGCCCTTGGCAGGGCTGCCATGTTAGTAGAAGAGTCAATTTTTCTCTTGCTGGTTGGCTGTGAGTTGGAAGAGCTGTCTTTTGGGGTCTCTGGCCATCACCTCATTTACACAGGAGTAACTTGTCTTTCCTTTCTGCGTTAGTTCTGCCAAGACCGTGTATTTGGGGGATATGGAGCTGGGGCTGATTCAACCCAGTTGAATTAGACCTGGGACTTTGACTTATGGTAGGTGTCTACAGGGTTGGTTTTACTAGTGCAGAAGTTTGCTTCCCTGTAGTAGAGTGATAGCACCAACTTCTGCTCAGGTAAAAGTCTCTCCCATGGATTCAAATGGACAAACACTGTTGATTTGGAGTGCCTGCCTTTTCTGGCAGAAATGGATGGCTGCATCCATTGGATGCAGAAGTGGATGGCTGCATCCTTCCAAGGCTGGAGGCTAGGGCTGCTCCTCACTCCGTGCTATTGCTGTTCAATGTGTTTCTTATTTTCTCAGGAGTATGAAGTGCACGAGTGCCTCAAGCAGTTACTGATGTCCCTGCTGCGGGCTTACAGGTTCTCCCCCATCATCCCAGACCTGGGATTACAAGTGAGTTGCATTTTTGAATCCCCGGGAATCTGTGACTAGCCAAACTTCTGTTATGTGTTGTCTCCTTGTCCAAAGGTAGCTAATGTTTTGGACTATCTGCAGTCATTTGATACAGAGATGGCAGTTCTGTCATGTTGTGCCTATTAGAGGGTTGTGTCCTCATCTGTAGATGGAGTCAGTTTTGCTTCTCCTGTTTCCCTAGATTCACTACCTCCGGCTCACCATTGCAGTCTTGAAGCATGAGAAATCCAGGAAATACCTACTCAGCAACGTTCTGTATCCTTTGCACCTCCTCTAGTCTCAGTTCTTCCTGCCCGCAGTAGTGCAGCCAAGGAGACTGCAAGGATCTGCAGGTCCTGAGAGGCAAAAGCACCCCATCTTTGAGATGTCATCTCTCAGGTCTCCTCTGTTTGCCTGACACTATTCTCTGTAAAGTCCTGCTTTGAGGAGAGGAAAGTGGTGCCTTATAGGACAAATCCTCCTAACAGGAAGGACTTCATTTCTACCTGACTGACCTCCCTAATGACCCTAGAGGAAAATCACTTTCAGAGCAGTTCAGTTGCCATGCTGGCATTTGGGCAGCTGCTGTCACAACTGCATAGGGCTTCTTCCAGGACAGGGGGTCCCTGGACTTTGCAGAGCTTTGAGTGGATGTTTGGAAAGGGGTCTCTTATTACAGCTGTGAAAGTGTGCCGCGTGTGTTCTTCCACATAGCTTCTGTGCTTGCTTTAACTTCACTACAGCTTTGATGTACTCCGTTCGGTTGTGTTCTTCTACATTAAGAGCCCTCTGCGTGTGGAGGAGGCTGGTTTGCAAGAGCTCATTCCCACCACGTGGTGGCCAAACCGCTTCACCAAAGAGGTGAGTAAGGACAAATCTACCAGTAGGGAGACTGAAGAAATGTTGTGGCCTGCTCAGGCCACAGAGGCATCTATCTCCATCGTTTTCTGGCTGAGGAGGTTGGATGCCCCATGTTTCCAACTGTGTGAGCATTGGTGGACCGTGGAGAGCTGTCTGTGGGTTGCGTTCTCTCTGTTGTCCTGTCATTTTTACCTTCCCCTCAGAGGGGAGGTTTGGGGTTCATTGCTCAGGACAAGAGAGGAGGGACAGTTCTCTGTGGCAGCAGATTTGGAAATAAGCCTCACAGTGTCTCAGGAATTACAGCTTGACTTGTGCGTCCTCAGAAGTTGCCTGCTCCTTGGTCGTCACAAGGCCTGGGAAGCTATTGAGGTGTGCTGCCAGCTGCTGCTGCACACTTGCACTTAGTTTCAGTGAATTTCTGCTCCCCGTGTAGGAGGCGTTTTTGCCATGCAGTGATCTCTTGCTAATCAGTGCCTGTCCCCCAACCAGGGCAAGGAGAGTAAGGAAGTGAAGGAGGAGAGCGCTGAAGAGAGACTAAGGCGGCGGGCATATGAAAGAGGCTGCCAGCGGCTCAAGAAACGCATTGAAGGTGTGTGGGGAGGGAGGGAAATTGCCATTTACCAAGGTCCCATAGCTTTTGTATAACAAGAGGGAGCAGCCTGTGAGCTGTTTTCGGATCCCCTTCATGACCTGAAGTCCGGATGTATTTTCATCAGGACAGGCTGTGCTGCAAAGGCAGGGGCCCCACCATTGCCATTGCCTGGCAGAGGGGCACAAGTGTTGAGAACTGCTGCACAGAACTGCAGCATCCTGCTATGGGACGTGAGCAAAATCAAAACTTTCCTTTAGAGGCACTGCTTATCAGCTATGGATGAATTTATTGCTAGGTGGTGATGGAGAAAATTCTCACAGTGACGGGACTGGCGTTCTGTGGGGGGTGGTTCTTCCCGGGCAGCTTGCTCTGAGGAAGTAGCATTTCTCTGTAGGGACAGGATACCATGCTTGGGATCAATGTGGGTAGATGATCTCTGGTGCTTTTTGTCTGATGGCTGACTGGTGTGTCCCAATTTTAGTGGTGGAAGGTCTCCAGGTTCAGATTCTGAAGCTGCTGCTCAACAATAAAGACAGAGGAGGGGTAAGTGATCTGTGGCTATTTTGGTACAGTATTTCCGCATCCCAGGGCTTGTATAGGTTTTTGTGCTTCCCATTAAAGCCTACATGAGCATCAAGTCTGGGACCAGAAGCTGTACTGCCTGCTGTGTATGACACATGTTGCAATCTCTGCACAGAAGTGCAGCTGTGGAGACCTTCAGTCCTCAGAATCAATTCTCAGGTTGATCCATTCAGGCAGACCGAATTGCAGATTGAGACTTTGGACTCTGTTTAAAGGGAGATCAGATTCTTTGCCAGTGCTGGCTGATTATATGAATTGCATCTAGGCCAGCCTTGGGTCTCTGTTGAACTAAGCAATTGCAATCTGACTACAGTTCATCCTACCCTGATGTTTAATACCAGTCTCAAAGAGAAAAGTCACTTATGTAAGTGTATGCCTCTACTGAGGAGGTGGAGAGTGCATCCAGTTGGGCACAGCTGAAGATCTACTGGCCACAACCAGTAGATCCCAGCAGGGACCTCAGAAAATCCAGCACTTGATTGTGTAGCAATGGCCAACGAGGCATTCTTGGGTCCTCCAGCAATGGTGGAGACTGAGTTAGTTCCTTTCTCTTGCTGGACTTAGCTCTCAAGTGAATACAGTTCTGTTCTCAGCAAGTCCAGGCCGCATAAGGATTTGTGCTTCACTCTAGGTCCAGAGACTATTGGGGGGCTCCCTGGGTTCCTCTCCCTAAAGTGCCTAAAGCCTGAATGAATGCCCAGGATGAATGTAATATGAGGTAAACACATCACAGAGTCCAGGGAGGTGGATAAATAACGCGTTCCATGGGAGCTCATCTGCTTTTCGTGTTGCCAGGGGGAAGCCTCCAGATACATCTTCCTAAACAAATTCCGCAAGTTTCTTCAGGAAAATGCTAGCAACAGAGGGGTAAGTCAGAGGGCCAGCCCCTCCTGCAAACCTCCCCCTGAATGCTCTCTGGCATCTTCAGGCTGGGAGCTCCTGCCCATTTGGTTGGGTTGCTTCCAGTGGATGAGGTCTAGAGATGGCTGGAAGTGCAGAGGAGGGAGAAGATCAGAGACTAGAATCCAGGAAGCTTATCCAAGTCCTTTGCTGTGATTTATGGGAAAGTGGTCCTTGGGAGCAGCTTTGGGTATGAGCCATAGATTTGGAGGAAAGGAACTAAACATCCTGCTAAAATCCCTCAGGGAATGTGGCCTTGGAGTGCTCTGCCACGGCTGGTCTGCTGGCTTTGGTATCCGCTTCATTGCCTGGGTGAGGACCACTCTTCTGAGCTTGCATTAGGCTGTTGACCTGCAGCTTTGGAAGGTGGCAAATCTGCTATTGCAGTAAACCCTTTCTTCACCTGCATCTCTACATTAATTAGCAGCCCATCTTTGGTGGTGGAGCACGTGGTTCAGTACCCAGGACTTTCTAGAGCTGGAAACTGCTGCCTGCCATCATGGGTGGGCTCTCTCCCAGTTCTGGAAACTATAGGTTCTCTCGTTAAACTGGTTATAGTGCTTTGAGGAAGGCTGGAAGCAGGAAGTTTCTGCCTGCCCCGAGTGGCCACTAGGACTGAGATGCTCTTTCAGAGTAGCCCTAATGGCTGAGCTCATTCTTTGCCCTAGAACTTGACTGTGCTGTGCCCACCGGAGTACATGGTGTGCTTCCTGCACCGGCTCATTGCCGCCCTGCGTTTCTTCTGGGATGGCCACAAGGCGAAGAACCCTGCCACGCTGAGCAGCGAAGGTAAGCCCTGGAGAAGGTTTGAGGGTGTTTTTGTGGTTGGGATGGCGTTTGCCTCTTGGAAGTGCCCTCTGGGATCCCGGAAGTTTTGTGTTCTGTATGGATTCTGTGGCCTCTGTAACCCTGTCCCTGTAGTTCCTGTCATGCTGGGAAATTCCTATGTGCAGATGTATTCCAGTTAATGTCCAGATCTATTCCAGTTAATTCCTCTGAGACTTGCGAAGGAATACACGTACTGTTTGCTGGCTCCTTCTGAATGCTCTGGAGCAGAGTCCAATATTAGTTATTGCTCTGTGTGAGGACAGTTCAGTGATCCCTTAGTCGAAGTTTAGGAGGAGGTATTTGTCTGTTTTTGTGGTTCCTGGATTGTGGGATTAAGGGGAAACCATATCAGTGCCAGCTGCTTTCCCATCCTCAAGCTCAGCCTTGCCTGTCCTGCCACAGTCCGCATGAGACTCCCTTTTCTTACTTTAGACCTAGCCTTTCCTCATGGTACTGCCTATTCTGGGCTCAAAAAGTGCCTTAAGATACCTATGGGAGTAAGTGGCTGAGCCTGGGATGGCTGGAATAACAAGGTGGAGAGCTATGGAGTTTTCTAATGATCAGATTTTCCTCAGTATCTGTGGCTGGGAGGGAAGAAGTAACCAGAGGGATGCTGTTGTTGGCCATCGGTTGCTTCTGTTTCTGTGCGGCTCTAATGCATGCTTCACTGTGGAAATCACTTCTGCCTTAATGGCTTGTGCTCTCACGACAGCAGAAGCTGTCATGCAGCATGGCTCCAGGCGGGACCCTGGGCTCTGTTGCTGGTATGTGCATGTACTCCCGCACCTGGGAGTCACAGAACAAACTCTTCCCTCTGCTTTAGAGGCGTACGTTCCTCCTCAACTCTTCTATAATGGGAAGGTGGATTATTTTGACCTTCAGCGACTTGGAGGTCTCCTGTCTCATCTCAAGAAGACTCTGAAAGGTGAGCACTCTCCAGGATGTCCAGTACCTGCACCCTAAGTCCTGACTGGTGTTTACCCAAGGGGTGTGCTAGGGAGGGAGCTGTGGGTAATTGTGCTAAATTTAAGGAGTGGAGACCTGAACTTTAATGAGGTGCTTGCTATGCTTTCACTGCCTGCCCCAAGCTTGTTACATTACATTGTAGGTATGAGTGGAGAGTAGGTGTGCAGAGCTAGGCATCAGTCCTCCTCTGCATCAGCAAGCTCAGCCAGCAGGGGATCAAAGTATGCGACATTGCCTGTGGGATTGGGGGTTAGCAGTACAGCATTCTCCCTGACACATGGACAGCTCCAGCCCCCCTTGCTGCAGCTGTAATGGCATGTTAGGCCTGCAGAAGTAAGATGCAGGGAGGCCGCATCAAGCAGTCCTGCGAGGATATTGCTTCATCATGTAGCTGATGAAGGGAAGGGGGATGGTCTGGGAACATCCCCTGGCATAGTGTTTTTGCTGCACCACAGCCGATGTCTGAGAGCTGTTGAAGCACTGACCATTGACACAGCTCTCCTGTGCAAGCTGGCTGTGAAGGATGCCCACGTTGTCCTTGCTGTACCACTCCAGACAAGCAATAGCAGCCCCATGTACATACTGCTGCTGTACATTTGGCTGCAGCACGCTGCTCTGGCCACAGACTTCCAAAGCCTCCCTGTTGGAAGGGTTAGCAACCACTTGTCATTCAGTCTGACTTAGTTTGTCTCTGATTTCTGACTAATGTGACCCTTGTCTTCAGCTCAGATACCTCTTTTCCTTCCCCAGTATGTTTCCAAAATTAGGACTGTCTTCCCTCTCTCAAGATGATCTCTGACTGTCCAAGGTTAGATTGCTTAACTCAAGAACCACATAATATCCTCTCATCTCTTGGCAAATTCGTCCTGGCCAGCTTTGGAGATAAGGCTATGGACTAGAGGACACATTGGTCAGGCCTTGTGCAGCATAGTCATCACAGCAGACTTCCTTCTGGACTGAGAACGGTTTCTGCTCAGAGTCTTTGAGGGGACCTGCAGTCCTAGTGACTTGGGAAATGTTATGGGACATTGTTGAAAAACTGGAGGCCTAAAAAGTGGCCTCAGGTCCTGAGTTTCCTTCCTCACACGCTGCTTCATTTTGGCCCTGGCAGCTGTCTCCTGGCTCATGTGGTTATTCCTGTTTGTTGGTAGTAGGAGCAGGAGCAGAAATGGGTCCAGGGTGAGCAGCACCCTTTGCTGCTTGGTCTCTACTGTGTTAGCAAGGGCATGCCTATTCCATGTCAGAAAGCTGGGGGGAAGGTGAGCCCATTCTGGCATAGCATCCAACTTGACTGGCTACTTCTCTACTGCCAAGAAGCAGGGAAAAGGACAAGCCTAGAGCTGCTTCCTGTGAAGCCAGAAGTGACTCCTGCATTCATGTCTACTCTGGTTGCTCTGTACAGATGACCTGGCTGCAAAGGCCAATGTCCTGATTGACCCTGCAGAGCTGCAGGCAGTGACTATGGATGATCTTGATGAAGATGAGGAATCAGCAATGTCGGCAGCACAGGTGAGCTGTGTAACACGATTCACCAGCGGGGGCTAGACCCTTGTTGCCAGGGCAGCAAGCTCAGCCTCTCACTAGAAAATCGTTGCTCTAGGAAGTCAGTGTCTAGCTCAGGACTGTAACCGGCCTATGGGTGATTAAATAAACAGCTGAATTTGCACAAAAGTCTCTGGAGATCAGCAGGGTCCTGCCATCACCAAGTTTGAGCAGCAAAATTTTCTTTGCTCCGCACTCTCACAACCCCCTGATGTGAGCATGCTTCTTCCCATCCACAACAGTTCTCGGCACTTGCATTTGAAGGGGTGCAAGACAACTGTAGACACAGCAACTTCTTGCTGGGCTGATCTGCTGCTTGTACTTGACGTGCACTTAGAAGAGGGAGCGCACATTTGTTAACCTTGTGCTGCTGGCCCAGCTGTGGTGGGGAGGGTATCATCTCCCCCTCCAGTGATCACTGTGCATCTATACTGAAATCCTTGCAGGGACAAGCAGGGAATAGTGGGCAGCCCAACAGCTAGGACTGTTTCTCCTTTAATTTCTTCTCAGTCTCAGCGTCCTTCTGCCGCGCTGGCCATTGGCGGAGCTCTTGCAAGACCTGGCTGGCTCAGCTCCCCCACCCTGGGCCGCGCCAACCGTTTCCTCAGCACAGCAGCTGTCAGCCTGATGAACCCACGGCGGCCTCTCGGCACCCTGGAGAAGATCAAAGTACGCACACTAAGTGTGGAGCAGCGGACAGAGGAGGACAGTGAGTAACTTCCACTGCGTGCTAGTCTGGGCCAGCTGGTCCCTGGGAGAATGACCTTTTCAGTTTCCAGTATGCTCAAGAGGATTGCAACTGATTTACTGCCTTCCCAGTGCATGCTGGGACCCACAAGTCCACAGGTAGCCACTCTGCCATCCTGCATGTGATATGGGTGGTGCTGTTGCTCCCTGTGTGCTGGGAGATGCAGCCTTGGTTTCTGCAAGCAGTGCAGCAAAGTGGGATTTGCATGGCCTGGATCTATCTGGACAGATTTAGCAAGTTGACCTGTGTCAGGCAGTGAGGTGGGAACAGTGTGTTTGTGTGACTGGTGAGCTATGTGGGTTGGAAGGGAGCACTGTGTTTCAGGAAGGTACAGCAGGGCTTTGGCCACTGGCTTCAGAGAGGTGCAGGCAGAAGCTGAGGTGCCAAAATGCACTGCTGAGAACTTCTCTCCTGTCTTGGGGATGGATTGCAGTTGAAGGCAGCCATGGAAATGAGGGTCTCTTACTGGGCAGACCCCCAGAGGAGCCGGAGCAGCCCATCACAGAGAACTCCCTTCTGGAAGTCTTGGATGGAATAGTGATGATGTACAACCTCAGTGTCCACCAGCAGCTTGGGAAGGTAAGCAGCACATCCTATGCAGGCATCTGCCCTCCTAGCTTTTTGCTTCCACACTGAATCTCTGTTCTCTGCTTGCTGAGCTGTTGTGTGTGTCTTTCCCTTCTCCCACCCCCTGGGGGAACAGGCTGCTTGCTTGCTTGTCTAAGAGGTAGGGAGAAAACTGCAGTATTGCTGGAATCTGCTGCTTTTTCAGATGGTTGGTGTGTCAGATGATGTGAATGAATATGCCATGGCACTGAAGGACACAGAGGAAAAAATCAGCCGCTGCCCGAAGAGGGTGAGTATCTCTGGATTCACAGCTTCCTTCTCTGGTAGCTCCTCAATGCATGAAAAAAGAGCATGAAGACCAGGTAACTTCCAGCCCTGGAGCAGCCAATGTCATGGGGGAGTAACCCATGTCAATAGCTGGCAGCCATGTTTCATCATGTGCCAACCCTTTGTACCACTGCCTTGAGGAGAAGGACTGAAGGGGGCAACTGCTTTGACTGATTCCAGCAGGCTGAGGCAGCTTGCAAAGCTCCATGAGCTTCAGGCATCTTGTTGGAAGTCTGAGGATACTCCAAGAATGTGGTATAGGGTTTGGAAAGGTTTCCTATCCAGAAGAGACCCTCCAAACCACAGCCACAGCACTTCTGGGCTGTTAGGGCTCTTCCTTGGATCTGCCATTCACAGTGAAAGGTTCAGAAAAAGCAAGTAGGAAATACACTCCAGTGCTGGGCTCAGGACTCTTCCATCTGATTCTAGCTGCTAGAAACTGAATCTTTCTGATGAAGCCTTTAAAAAGCGTCTCTGACATCAGTTGACCCTAAAACTGCTGGCCACACCAGACCAGTATCAGGCCCTGCAGGCTGTGGCTGAGGCCAGTAAGTGCTCTTATAGCACTGATTTCCGCTACCTCTGCAGAGCAGCTGCTGACCCTTTTGTCTCTTCCAGCATTCCCTAGCTAGCCCCAAGGTGGTATTTGTTTCTGCGTTGTTTGTCCAGCTCTGAAAAAGAATGAAAAAGCTGTTGACCCCTCACCTCTCTGCACTTTTTTCAGAGGAGAGACATCCATGAGGAACTGCTGAAGAGCCAAAAGGTGTTCTCCGAGAAGCTCAATCACCTAAGTCGTCGCCTTGCCTGGATCAACGTCACCATCTATTCTAAGGTGGGCAGGAGCATCGTGTCAGCAGTTCAGGAGAGACCTGAGTGAATGTGTCTCTGGATCTGTGCTGCTCTGCTCATGTGCCACAAGCGCCATTGCCCCTGGTGTTGGAGCAAGGCTGATGCTCCATGGGGCTCAGTTTTGCTTTCCTGTGTGTTGTCAGGAGAGTTCTTCCCAGGCATGGGCCCCTTCTTGTCCCAAGTTTGGTCCCTTCGATACAACACAGCCTAGTCTGTTCTGATCTGTGTATGGTGCTGCAGGCTCTGTCTTGGGAAGTCAGGCCTCTACCTCACGGACAGAAGGGTGAGGGTCAAAGGGTTCTTGGGGAATGACTAGAGGATAGAGGCTATTGTGGCCGTTTCACTGAGATGTGCTGTGCTTCAGAGGATGTTCTCCCGAGTACTGCTCTTTTGAAATGTGTGGGATCCTCACCAACATGAAACCCTGTTTTGTTGTTGTTGTTCAGACGTTCTGCCCTTCTTCACTTGGGTTCCCATGTAGGGAAGGCACATTCTTCATTTAGTAAGGCTGTGACTGTTTGCACAGATCATTTCTTCCCTGCATTTGCCATCTCCTTCCAAGATAAAGTTTCTGGTCTGTTTCTGTGAGCAGTTTATGCTGTTATGCTCTGGAGACCTCACCTTCCTCTCCTCTCTTGTGTGTTGCCTTATCCCATCTGCATTTGTAAGTTTTTTGTGCTGGGGAAGAGAACATGTTTCCCTTAACTTGCAGTGGCAGGAGGCTCTGCACATGTCCCAGGACATGAAAGGGGAGGAGAAGAGCGGCAGTGACAGTAGCAGTGGCTGATCTGACTCCAAAGCTCTTTGCTCACCCTACTCCCATTCACTTGCAGAGCAGGATTGCAAGGCACAGTGCAGTGCTACAGAAGCTCTCTAGCTACATTAGTACAGCCCATACTTGCCAGCAAATAGACCTTTCTTCTTGGCCTGCTCTTGAAAGGCTGAGGGGTGTTATGTGTGTGCATCGTGGTTACCACTGTGATGGCCCATGCAAAAACACAACTCACGTCTCTAGATGATCTATCAGTATGTTAAATGCAGGTACTTGCATCTCATCAGGAGCACAATGTCACCTTTCTGGATGAGTCAGTGATTCTGGGTGTGAGGGTTACAGCCTTCCTTGCTTGCACCCCTGCCTTGGCCTGCTTTGGCCCTCCAGGAGAGCAGATCACTAGGCTAGCTTTGGCTGTGAAATGTGCCCCAGCAGCCGAATAACTTTGCTCCAAAGAGGAGCAAGGCTGCACGGCAGAGCCTCTCTGTACTACCGGTACTAGAGGGCTCCATCTGCACAACTGCCCAATGGAGACGCCCACCCCAGCAGGCTCCAGCGTCCCAGTGAGTTGTGTGCGATGAAAGGACACATCTGGATGAATGTAGCAGGCATTGCTGTTGGAGAAAAAAAGACTCTCTGTCTGAAGATGAAGTCCAAGGTCTGTGCTCAGGTGTCAGGAGTATGGGAGAGGCTGCTCCTTCCTCTGGGAAATTTATTCTGAGCTGAGAGAATCAAGGTTAGGCAAAAGGGAGCATTACAGCTGAAAAACATTCTTGGTTTTAAAGTAGATAATCCTGTCTTCAAAAACGCTATGGGAAGACCATTTCTGCCCTGGGGTTTTGATGCCAAGGTAGAAGCTTACTTGGTTATGGCACAGTATTTATCTGGCATACTGTGGGTGAACATTACATCTTTATAGTCTCTTGGTGTAGGCTTTAATCTACTTTGAGCATATGTGGCATGACTTTTTGAGGTTATCAAGTCTTAATAAAACCAATTGCAGCTTTCCTTACCTTACCATTGCTTGCACAGTTATTTTTTATCCTGAAAGCAGCTATTGAGTTGAGATGTGCATCAGTGTTGAGATAAAGACGTCTTTTAGTCAATTTAGTCAATTTATAATTGGTCTAACTTACAGAACAAACCCGTGTAAATCTCCCAGAGAAGACAGTGACATAGTGTAGAAACACCACCAAGCAAATGAAATCAGTTATCTACACCTTTGATTTTTCTTTAATTGGAAGTTTAAACTGTCTTCCTGCTGTTTTTATGCAAACTGCTCATGAGATTTCATGGTATTGCAGGATATGTAATAACTTTTCCTCTTTTTTTGCCTTTCTTAGCGCTAATTTTTATAAGTTCAAAGTTATGTAGATGCCTTAAATTTCCTGTGTTTAATTTAGGACCCCCGAGTTTTGCTATAGAAGTAAAAGAGGTTGAGGCTCCTCAGGAGAGTAAATCTAATTGAATGTTTGGTGCAGAATCCAGAAGGCTGTGGCCATCTAATGCAAAGATCTGAGTTGGTATGAGCTTTCTGTCTGTTCCAATTTGTTAATTTTTGTGAAGGGTTAGCTTTTTTTCCAGCAGTTTTGTCCTGGGTTTGCTAGTGCCTGCCTCCTTTCAGCCAGTATAAACTTGGAATAACAGCTGGCATATCTTTTTTGCAATCAGGCCTGCTGTGGTGGGATATGCCCTACTGAGAGCAGTCCTTGGAATGTTTCAAGAATCAGCTAGACAAAGCCACAGCTGATCTAATCGTGTGCTCGTGATAGTCCCACTCCAAGCAGGAGGTTGATGTAGAGTTCTCCGGTTGTCCCTTCCACCTGACTCGTCTGTGACTCTGTGAGGAGACCCAGCAGAGCACAGGGCTGCTTAATGAACATAGAGCCATAGCCTGAGGAACTTCCCAGGCACTGAGACGTTTCTGAGGTTCGGGTGTGATGCTGACTGTTGCACTTTTCCAAAGAGAATCTAGGCAAAACTGACTGGGGATCATTGTGTTCTCCCCGGCCAGGAGAAGATGCAGGACATATATTGGCTGCTGCGCGTGTGCATCCGCACCATTGAGCATGGTGACCGGACAGGCCCGCTTTTTGCTTTCATGCCAGAGTTCTACCTCAGTGTGGCTATGAACAGCTACAGCGCACTCAAGAACTACTTCAGCCCTGTCAACAGCATGGAGGAACTTCCAGGTAAGGGGATAGAGAGTTCTTGCTAATCCTGATGAAGGCTAAGTAAAACCACATCCTGCTTGTGAAGTAGCAGTCATTGGGCAACATCCCTTCTGTGTCCTTTCCTAACTGTGCTGTGCTTCACTGGTGTATTGTCTGTGTGCTGTGGGGCAGGTGCTGAGTGCTATTCTTTGAGTGTAGGTACACACTGGCATACTGTGGCCTTTGCTGTGTTTAGGCAGGGAGCCTCGTGCCTTGCTCAGAGTTGTCACAGGGTTGACTGCACTGAAAATCACTCCAGCAGCTATGAATTTTGTTTCTAAGGAGGCATCGGGAATGGGTTGGGATATGGCAGGATGTAGTTGCCCCCTGGCAGTGCACGCCGCTGTCTGCTGGTCTCTGGCTGTGGGAGACATGTTGTGAGCGCAGAGATTGGGGCTGCTTTCACATCCCGCCCTGGGATTTGGATACATTCCTATGGGGACAACCATCTCCTTGATGCCAGTAGTCTGCATTTAGCTGAATTCCCTCAGTGTATGTTCTGTGCTTTCCCTGGCAGGAGAAAGCTTGGCTTCTCTAGCAAGTTCCCATCTAGAACTGTAGAACAGACAGATCATTCTCAGCAGTTGATCTCTATGAACCTGTCCCCAGTCCTGTGATCCTGGCATGAAGGACTTCCTGCTCTGCCCCTTTGTGCTCCCAAAATCTAGGGGCCTAAGGTCTGGCTGAGCAGCCCTGACTTGCTTGCCTGTGCTGGCCGCTGTAGAGAAGGGGTGTGGGCAGTTGGTGGGTAGACTCAAAGGCTTGATGCAAGTCATGCTGCCGTTGTTGCAGGCAGCTGATGAAGAAGGTATTCTGGCTTTCCTTATGATGCCTTCCTCATGACTCTGTTACCTGTGATCTCCTGTTTGCAAGGTAGCTAAAAATTTAACAGGTCTCTGCTGTGAGACTAATCCTGCAGACTGGATCCTCCTCACGCTCACCCCAGGGCCTTGCTTGGCTGAGCGATCTCAGTGACCTCTTAGCAAATTGTTCTGTTTCTTCCAGAGCCCACGAAGGTAAGAAGGATTTCTGTTCCCACCAGCAAGGCATAGCTAAGGTTTTCACATCAATTAAGTGAGGACTTTGTCTGCTGTTCAGGGAACAGCAGAATTAAGCTGTAGCAGATTTCTTCAGGGTCTGCAAACTTGACATGGCTTCTTTGGGTAGGCCTAGAGTGGTGTTTATGTTGCTCAGTCCTTTCTGCACTAGGCATTGCTCTCTTACCCTCTGACTGTTTTACACTCTACAGACTGTGGCAAGAGGCTCTGTGGGAGACAAATGTGTTCTCCCAGCTCTCTGTTTTGACTACTAGACACACAACAGAACTGCAAATGTAGCTGTAGCGGGGAGTGAATCCCACAGTCTGTCCCGGGCCTGCAGAAAAACTGGGGACGTGGGGCCGCCCGTTGGGCTGTCCTGTGACTCCTGCTCCCTCCTTCTCTTTGCAGGTTATGAAGAGACTCTGATGCGCCTTGCAGCCATCCTGGCCAAGCACTTTGCTGACTCAAGGATCGTGGGCACGGGTGAAGCTGCTCTCCTCTGCTCTGGGGTGAAGTGTTGCAGGTCTGGCTGATCCCACTGCCGGTGGCTCACCAGACTTCTGTTGGGATCTATTTGCTGAATCCATTGAGTGCTCTATGCCTCCATGTGCAAACAGAGGCTGGGCACTGCCCTTGCCTGGTGTGTCCCGCTTATTTCAAGATTAGATACATGACCTAGGCCCCCTGTTTGAGAACACGATGCGTGTCCCAGCTGCTTGCATGTCAAGACTAGTGCTACTCCTGAGCTGCCTGGACATAGGCATGCTCTCCCTATCAGCTAGGAGGGAGAGCCTCTGCTTTGCCTGAGATGGGATAGGAATAGGCAAACAGGCATAGGAACAGACAGGCTGTGCACAGAGATCCTCAGTGCCCCATGACCCTTTGGTAACAAGAGGAACACACAGATCTGTACAAAAATGCCAGTCTCTATGTTTGCTCTTCTACCTTTAATTCTCTGAGTTTTGGACTTGACCTGGGCCTCTGGGGAGATCGAAGATCATGGTGAGTGGAGCAAGGCTTGCTCTCATACCAAGATTCCCAGTTCATCTTGACTCTGATCTTGATCAAATCTGTGGGAAAACTGCTTCTGGAGACAAGAACTTCAGTGTTTCTTACCTTCATCTGTTTAGTATGTGTGAACCATTATGACATCTAGGTAGATCCTGAAGACTGAATGATCCAACATGCCTAGTTCCAGCTTCCTGGAAACCTATTTTGTTCATGTAGGCCTAGGCTATCTTATTGCTCTGAACTCTTTCTAATTCAGTAGCCATTCATGAAGGCGTATGTATCCTCCCTCCTCAGAAAGACATAAAAGTCCTTATCTTCACCCATGTCATCTAGATTTAGAAGTGACCCTGCCCTTCCACTGGAATCAGCTTTCCCTTCATCCTTTAGCTCACACAGTCTGTTTGAGGGGTCAAGCTAAGGCTGCAGGCATGCATTCCCATTGCAAAACACAATGCCATTTGACATACCATTCATCTGCTGGAAGCTGTCATGTCTGCAGCAGAGCTGCAGGATGCTTGGCTGTTCTTTTGCTTCTTTGAGGGCTGGCTGGATGAGCTTGTGCCCTAGATGAACATGATTTAAAGTCACCTGGCTGACTGCACTGAAGTAGATCAGGAAGCACCCTGCACTGCAACCTCTAGCAGGGTAGTGAGTGTCTAGAGGCAGCAGAAACCCTCAGTTGCTCTGGCTAGAGGCAAAAGAGACAATAGGCTCAGGACACAGACACAGGCACTGTGTAGTAGACAGCAACCAGGCATGGCTTGCTAATTGCTTTTCCAGCTGTTCCCAAAGAGAGCACTGATGACACTTAAGGCTTTACCTCTACTCTGAATACCTTTTGACAATAGCAGTTCTGATCGGTGCTCTCTGTAGCTGTGTGTTTTCTAGCATCAGCCAGCCTTGAGAAACCATGCTCCTTCAGACTCTTCCAGCTCATGACTGAGCTTTTCTGTAGCACAAAAGATGCAGGTGATGCCTTGACTCAAAGCAAATATCAGGCAGAAGTCAAAGAATAATACAGGCTGGAAGGGACTTTAGGAGGTCTCTAGATCAACCACTGCTCAAAACAGGTCAGCTATGAGGACAGACTAGGCTGCATAGGGCTTTATCCAGTCTGGTCTTGAAAAACTCCAAGGAGGGAGACCGCACAACCTCTCTGGGCAACGTGTGTCAATGCTGGACTGTCTTCATGGAGGAAAAGGTTTTCCTTATTGTTTCTTGTTTCAATTGTTGCCCATTGTGTCTTGTCCTCCTGCCATGTACCACTGTGAAGAGCCTGACCATATTTTCTTGACAACTATTTTGTAGATACTGGAAGGCTGCTGTTAGGTTCCCCCAAAGATGTCTCTTCTCCAGGCTGTACAAGCCCAGCTCCTTTAGTTTCTCCTTGCCAAGCAAATGCTCCAGCCCCTGACCATCTTAGCAGCCCTCTCCTGAACTCGCTCTAGTTTATATCTTTCCTCAAAAGGGGACACAGTGTATAGACGTGGTCCAATGAGTGCTTAATAGAGGGGGATAATTACTTCCCTAGATCTACTGCCTACGCTCCTGTTAACACAGTCCAGGATGCCATTGGCCTTCTCTGCTGCCAGGGCACTGGTGGCTTATGCTTGACTTGCTGTCTAGATCAAACCCCAGGTCATTCTCAGCAGAGCTGCTACACAGCCAATTGGTCCCAACCTGTATCTTGCAGGGAGTTCTCCCTTCGCAGGCACAGGACTCAGCATTTGTCCTTGTTGTATTTCATGAGGTTCCTGCCAGCCCATTTCTCAAGCCTGTCTGGGTCCCTCTGGCAACCCTGCCCTCAAGTGCATCAACTGGTCCCAACAATCTGGTGTTATCTGCAAACTTGGTTCTTTCCCAGAACAAGCCCAGAGAGAGTCCGTTGTAAATGAGGGTAGTCTCTCTCCCTGAGAGCCATTCCCTCCCAGCCTCTGGTGTTTGGGTGCTCCTTGGCGTGCTTCATGTCCTTGCTTACCTAGCCTAGCCCCTTCTCATTCCTCTACAGACATCCGGGACTCCCTGATGCAGGCGTTGGCCAGCTATGTCTGCTACCCCCACTCACTGCGTGCTGTTGAGAGGATCCCAGAGGAGCAGTAAGTGCTGCCCTGTCTCTCCCCAGGGAGCTGCAGCAGGGCTGGGGTGGTGGGCAAGGTTGGGTGGGGGAGCAGGCAGGTGCCAAGCACTGCAGCGGGCAGGGGACCTGCAACGGGGTACTGGAGTTGACTGGAGCCTCCATCCATCCCTATGCCAGTAGTTTTGCTGTGTCCCAGCTCTGTGTCCCGCACAGGATCCTTCTGTGCATCCTGTTTAATCTCCCGATCCCTTTGAGGCTGACCTGCATCTTCTGTTCGTTAGGCGGATCTCCATGATGAAGAATCTCCTGGCTCCCTATGAGCAGCGACCGTGGGCGCAAACCAACTGGATCCTCGTCAGGCTGTGGCGGGTAAGGATCCTACTTCCCTGTCCGTCTCGCTAGCCCTATCTGCAGGGTGGGACACGGGGGTGTTTTGCTTTCCAGTAGCAACGAAACCCTACCATTTTCCAACCTCTAAGGTTCTTCCCTATCTCTTTTATCAGGGCTGTGGCTTCGGGTACAGATACACACGGCTCCCACACCTGCTGAAAACTAAGCCTGAGGATGCCAGCCTCCCTAGCTTGCAGAGTGAGTGGCGCACCTAAGGTTTTGAAGGGTGATGAGGGAGGACCGATCTCTTCCCTGTGGGCATCTCTAGGGGTCGGGTCAGGTGGTGAGGTGGCTGCTGAAGTAGATGGGAACCTGACCAAATTTCCAGGCCTGATCCTTCCTTTTCTGCACTTCCCCAGTCCCACTATATCGGCTGGTGGCTCTCTTGCAAGCTGGGCAGTGGATTAGATCTGACGCTAGGAGGAGTTCTGCCCTTCAAGGGAGAGGGGAAGTGTCCAGGGCTGCATCTTTACCAAAGTTTTGCCCCAAAAATCTCAGCCTGGATGAAGGCTTTCTGATTTCTACCATGACCAGCTTCTATTGGGAGAGTTGGCAAGTGTGCCAAGCAGCAGATACCCTGTGAGAGGGAGTGGGTGCCCACAGGGGCAGGGCACTGGTCAGGTTTGCAAGTAGAGAGTGTTTAAATCATGCACTTGTCTTGGAGCCTGGCAGCGCCTGTCCTGCCTTTGGCATGGCAGTTCTGCTGTGAGCACCATTGCCAAAATGAGGGGTTCCTCAGCTCTATTGCAGCCAAGAAAGACGTGAGGAGGGGAAAGTCCCTTTCTCGAACTGAAGAACAGGTCTCCAGCTTCCCTCTTGCAGGGTCTTGGCCTGGTTGGAGACATTCCCAGCTGCCCCTCCACTGTGGAAATGGTTTTGTGCTAGACCTTACTTAGTGGGCATTGTACCTGGAGAGCTGTGTGGGGAGTGAGGGCAGAGGATGCTGCAGTCTGATGTGGGTAGAGGACCTATGGAGATGTTTGCTAAGCCCCATCCTGCAGGGAAAGCTGCCTTATCTTTGTTTTAATGGCACTCTTATTCTCTTTTTCTCTCCTTCCCCTGGGTGCCCAGGAGATCTCTCTCTTGCTAGTTTCCAGAGTAAGTTTGTTGTGTGACCCTCTCTTGTCTGGTGATGTAGCTTTAGAGAGCTCCCTCCCTCCCCTCTTGTGTCTTGAGAGACCCTTGTTTGGGGGGGACAGGGAGGTTACATAATGATCTCATTTCTCAGTTATATCCCTGGGAGACGCCAAGAAGACAGGGAGACCGTTGCCCACATGGCACTCTCCAAGGCTGTGTCACAAACCTGCTCTTGCTACTGTTTTATCAGTGTTACCTCTTGGATCAGAGCCTTCCCACAGGCTGTGCCAGCTGTTGGTTCCTCTCATCTTTGTAGGACGATGCAGAAGCTCTGGTGTGCATGTGGCAAGGACCTCATGACTGTCTCTTCACGCTCCTGTCGCATGAGCAAGCCACCGAGTGGCCTGCCTCTGGTCCCATGGGGTGGCTGCAGAGAGCGCTGGGACAGGAATGAAGCTTTTGAGGTTTCTCTCCATCCATCTCCAGATGGCTCTGTGCAGTCTGAGCTCAGAATGGGCTGGGGCGGCTGCTGGGAGCTTGCTCCTTGGACCGGCTATTTTAAAGAACAACGGAATCAATAATTAATGCTCATTTAATTGATGAGGGACATGGGACTCAGAGGTGTCCTTGAGACACGGCCTGGGGAAAGAGGAGGAACCCCTCCCTCCCCCACTGCTTCCCACCCATCAGTCTTCACCCTTTTGCAATCTGAGTAACAGGTTTTGTCCCATTGGCAGGAAAGAAATCCCTTCTTGTCTGGCTCTGCTTCTGTAGGCCAGTCTGAAAGGAGCTTAGGCAAATGCCTCTTCTCTGGTTCCCCAGCCTTGTCCTGCTTTGGAGATGCTGCCTTGGAGGAATCTGCATAGTGGGAAAGGTTGGCTGGCTCTACCTCGCAGTATCTGTGAGGCCTGCAGAGTGCAGGCTAGCTGGTCTCCTATGCTGTGCTTTGCCTGTTCTCACTGCTCACGAAGATCCCTGCAAAGAGATCACTGCCTGGGTTAGTCCAGAGAGGGAGAAGGGATTAAAAAGGCTGTGTGTGTTAGTTACTGCTTGCTTCCTGAATTGCTCCTTAGCCACGGCTGGCACCAGTCAATTCTTGTGTGGACGGGGCTCTACATCCAGTTTGGCTCTCAAAGGCTGACAGTGGCTATGTTCAGAAGAGGAGGAAGTTCTGATCAGATGCTGCTGAAGGACTTGTTTTGCTTTTGTGTGGCTGATGCCTTTTGTGGCTTGTAGGTAAGAATGGGAACTGTTAAGGCATGCACACAGCGTGCGACAGTGGTGGCCCTGTGCCTGGCCCAACCTTCATTGCTCTTACTGAGATGCAGGGTGGCTTCAGTTTGCAACATGGGGCTGTTCTACCCCATGCCTTCTCTCCACGCCTCCATCAAGCAAGCAGCAGAGGGATAGGTGGATGGGACTGTGAGATCATCTAGCTGAGCTGCTGCACAGTGTAGGCCAGAGAACTCACTCACTTCTCCATCCTGAGTCCAGTAAATTGTCTAGCTAAAGGAGTCTTTCAGGAAGAAATCCATTCTCAGGTTGACAGCACCAAAAGAATCAGCTTGTGGTGATTTGTTCCAGTGGTTCCTTACCTTCAGAAATAAATCCATAACTTTTTCCTGATGCAAATGTATCTATCTGCTTTTGTTGTCATCCATTGCTGCTGCTTCTGCCTTTCTCTGTTAAGTTACCCTCTGTACAATACAACATTTTTTTCCCCGTCCTTACCCTTCCTATTTTTTTAACAGCCCCAGAGTTGCCAGCATCATGCTGGGTAGAACACCTCCCTGATCTGCTGGTCACGGAGCCAAAACTTGCATTGGCCTGTTTTTCAGTGATTTGCTTTGGAGACACTCATGAGTCCCTTGTGCACTGGGGCTTCCTGGTGCCTTGTGCTCACCCATTTCAGTATCTTATTCCCTGGATGCAGCTTGCTTTCCTTCTTCCTCAACCTACAAAGTTCCCTTCGGTTGTCTGTAAGCATACCTTTGAAAGAGCTCAACTCGCCAGGTGACCTGAGTCACTTTGCATGCCCTGCTTACCTTTTTCACTGCTGTTTCATCAATCTGACAGCCACAGAGGCTGAGCAGCAGCTGTTTCACATCTACATCTGGAGCTGTTCAAAGACTTAGATTGATTTTGGATGGAACTGCTTTGCTTCTGAATCCAATCTGTTTTAGGCTTTCCTCCTCTGTACTCACAGCTCGATTGTAAATTCTGCTAAGTCCAGAGCTCCCCTATGTCCGTCACTTGGGGTGCTGACCAAGTGTCTTGCAAATAGCTGTGGTATAAATCTTTCTTGATCACTAGCAAGCTATAGAGTACGCAGTTATCTTCCTGTGATGAAAGTATGTGACCATGCTTCTTTACAAGTATTCAGTAAGAATATTTAATGAATGCTTCCACTTTGTATGCTTTATTAATTTTTACCATTATCTACTAATGGGCATCTATTAGTGTTAGACTTTCTCTCATTACTAATGTTTTTGATAATCCCGTTAGAATTTCTTCAAATTTTGTATGTAGCCAGGTTAGTTGTGGATGTTTCTCTTAGGTCTTCTCCTTCTATTACCCATTTCCTCCTCCTCTTCAGTGACTGCTGGCTATGTTTGATTATGTTCGCATTGCCTTTTTCATCTTAACTTACACCTTTGCTTCAGCCTGGACTCAGTGAACCTTTTAGGCCAAGTGTTCGCTGTAGCATTGGGTCTTTCTGGCTACATAATAATCTCTGTAAAGGGCTCTGTTTTTATTTGCTATTTTTCCCTGACCTAGATTTTTTTTTTCCCTCCAATTCTATTTTGCTCATATTTCTGTGGGGAAATTAGCCTTGTGGAAACATCGGATATATCTATAACTGCTTGGGAGCCGTGCTCTGTTGCCCACTTAAATGCTTTGAGGTCATAATTTCTGGCCTTGGAAAACCACTGATTTCTGTTTCAATGACTGATCTTCATCTGTCCTAATGAAGGCTAAAGCAAGATTGACTGGCTTTTGTATTAAGGAGTTACAAGTTTTAGAAACGCTAATGATGTATTATTGGCAAGATTAAGAAAATAACCACATCAACAAGTATCCACAGGCTCCAGCTAAAAACATTCCTGTCTACATTGGCACACATAAGGGATGTGTTATTACCCGGGAGGATAAGGGTAGCTGGGATGTGCAGTGGGGCCACAGAGAGCTGCGTGAGGGAGGTGGAAGGAAATGTCTCAGTAAAGACAGACTTCTTGCAGATGAAGATAAGCACAGTGCCAGGGTCTAACGCCGCCAAGGCGGGGTTTCTGAATACCACTAATGATTGCCCCATGGAGAACCTGATCTGAGAATTCACGCAAGGGAAGAAACTACTCGTGGGCAATACCCAAGGCTGGTTCCTAATGTTGCTTTCAAAGAGTAACAGTGATTGCAGTGTTGCTCCCAGGACAATGCTGAATCTAAATACAAAAGACAAGGAAGTCAAGTGTTTACTGGTGTTAGCTTGAAAACATCAAAAGTCTACATAACCACAGAGAAGTATGATAAGAGGCACCACTTTTTAATGCTTTTATAAACTGGCACAGTCTTTGCTGGCGGCAGGGAAAGCGTTTAAGGACCTGGTATTGGAGGCTTGGAGCAAATTCGTGACAACGATTGGAAAAGGACCATGAGGAAACAATCATTGGCTAAACAGCAGGCTAAAACAGGTTATTACAAGCAAAATAGCATCCTTCAGAAAGGCAGAGCTGCCTTCAGGTGAGTTAGACTTCAGCAGTGTGATTCATTTTGAGATATGTCTCAACTTGAAATGTCGGTAAAAGAGGCTTTAGCAACAGAGCGATAGAACAACCTACAGCGCTTATCCATGATGATCATTACTCATCACCTAGAACTACTTCAGTTCTAGAAGGCTGAAAGAGAGCTTAATATATTAGCAGTTTTAATAAAATTCACTTTTCACAAGTTGAGGAGTTTTTCTATAAATGAAAAAAAAATTGCCAAAGGACTTTCCGATCCTGAATGACTGGGAGAGAAAATGTGGATGCAGTTCAGCATAGGCAAGTGTAGAATGGGGAATTCAAAGGGAAAATGTGATTAAAAAGCAGTGGGGTGCAAGCTGAGTATAACCCAAAGAGACAGAATTGCAGCTCACAGTGGCACTGGTGGGAAGGGACCCCAGTGGTCTGTGATCCAGCCTGTGCTTGGAACAGGGCTGTCACCAGTGCCAGCTTAGGGTGGCCATGGCTTTGCCTGGGCAACCTCCAAGCCCAGAGACCTCTGACCTCCCACGTCCCTGGAGCCTGCTCCTGCACCTTCCTGAGGAAAAGAGCTGCAATATTTGAGGTGTGACCTCCCTAGGGCGAAGCAGAGGGATAGTAGCTTCCCTTGATCTGCTAGCCACCTCCTCCGGCCATCACCCACTCTTGTAGCAAGAGCCCACGGCTTTCTCCTGTTCAACGTGGCATCCTTCATGATCCTAGGCCCTCTGTTGGGGTGCTGCATGGACTGTTGGTTCCCAGACAGGACTCATAGTTGGGGCAGAATTTTGCCTTTCTTGCTGAATTTGATGAGAACTTTTTGCGCCAGTCCTCAAGTTTCTCAGGGCCCTCCTGGAGTAAAGCTCTATTCTAGCACGTCAGACAACCCTCCTCCTTTAGTGTCGTCCACCAATTTACTATGCAGGTGCTCTACATCATCATCTGTTGCTGGCAAGGAAGACAACAATGTGCCTCCGTTATTAACTCCTGGGCTTCTCCACTTACCACCTGAAGCCAGCAAGTTCTGGAAGATCTTGAACTATACTTTTTACAAAAGGGTTATCCTTGAACTGTAGTCCTGTTGTAATCTTTTTGAAAATAACAACTTGGTGCATAGTCCAAGGAACAAATTAAGCGGTAGGAAGTATTAGGAAGGGAAGAGAGAACAAAATAAAAAAGTACATTTTGCCCTTGTGCAAATCTGCTGTGCGTTAGTGATTTGAATGCTATGTGCACTTCTGTTTTCACCTCTTCAAAGAAAATCTAGGAGAACTGGCAAGACTCAGGGGAGGGATGGTGAAGGTGACAAAGATGTGGCAGTTTCTGTATGAGAAACAGCGTACATTGGAGCTGTTCATATTCAACATGAGTGACTCAGGACTATCAGAAAGGTCTGTGAAATCTCAGCTAGCTTGGAGGAATTGAATAGAGACTAGCAGCTCTCTGTCTCTCTTAGCAGAAGGAGGGGGCTGCAAAGAATAAATCATATAAAATAAAGTGAGTAGGAGCCAAGCTCAGATCACAGCGAGAGGAGGGTTCTTCCTGCCATGCACAGTTAAGCTGTGAAACCTTACTCTAGGACGCGCTCAATGCTAAAAGCTTGCACAATTTCAAGAGGATACTGGGAAAGAAATCCACTGAGTTTCACTAAATACATAAAACCTGCACCTATCTTGGGCAGTTGCTGAGCCACATGCAACCAAGGGCAGGGAAAGTACTTGAGGGTGGGGGTGGGACATCAAAGACTGCCTCCCTAGAATGTGCTTTTACCTAGGATCAAAGCCAGCGTGCTGGCCTGCATGGCGTGATTATGCACCGTGAGGCATCAGCATGTGTCCGCCATAGCAACACAATTACACTTGTTAGCGGGATACCTATAGAATAATTCATCCTGTTCCTTATGTGAGCTGACGATCTGTACTTATAACCAAACATCCATCTCTCTGGCTTTGGTAATCCCAGCTAGCAATATCCCTGTAGCCCTGCCTTGTTCAGTACCTAACTATGTGGTGGAGGTAGTCCTGTGTTTCCTTCACTCGTGCAGGCTGCAGCCCTGAAGACATTTTGCACTCATAGCACAGTGAGTGCCTTGCAGTCCAGGCACTGCAAGGCCAACGCTGTCAGAATTTCCCCCTGCTCTCACTTGTTACTTGCTCCTAGTAGAGAGAAAAGTAGTTTCTGAATTTTAGCCTGGGTACCCTTCCTTTGTTGCATTAAATGCTTTTGTGAGCCTCTAGCTGATAATGAGTCCTTCTACCAGTGGGATGCATCTGTCCCATTCACGTAGTCCTCCCTTCCTGGCCAGTTCACAGGTGCCAGTGTCCCACACAGCACTGGCTGTGCCATTCTCGAGCTGCCTGGGTCCAGCCGTGTCTGTGCTCTTGATATCAAAAAAGCCTAGAGGCAAGATGTTACATACAGCAGGGACTTGTCTCTATGTGTGCTGAGCCTGGCCAGGGAGTGTGGGCAGCCCTACCTGTTCAAGCCTGCTGAGAGGAAAGCTTAGCCCCAGCTCTAGGCAGAAGCATCTCGGGAATGGGATTTGCTCGGTGCTTTCCTCCCTGGACCTGGGCAGGCCTGGCATAGCCACGTGAGGCTAGGGGCTGGATGCGTTGGCCCTGGGCAGCTGCTGCCACGCTTCCATCAGAAGCAATTAGTGCTGAGCTGACCCTGGGTCTCACCAGAGCTGAGTGCAAAGGATGGCTGAGCTGCAAGGCAGTGCTCCCATGCATGAAGGGAGCAGCAAATACACAGGGCTGTTCCCTGGTTAATTCAGGCTGGCATTGCAAAAAAGCTCTTGGAGGCATGACAGGCAAGATCTCTGCTCAGAATAGTCCTCCGCCGCAGCCTCCTGATGCCCTGCCATCTCCGCTTACTGTAATGCAGTAAGTTACAGTAAGACAGAAGCCAACGTTTTACAAGCTCAGGACCAAGCTCCTGGCCGGCCCTCGCCCCACGCCCCCTTGGCCGGGCTGAGGCCAGGCCTTTGAAGCTGTCACTATCTGGTTTCAGAGCCATGTCCCTCCACCTTGCTGCAGAGACACATGGCAGACCTGCTCCGCAGTGACCGCGACTTGGCTCCCAGCTTCCTCAACAGCGTCCTCAACCAACTGAACTGGGCTTTCTCCGAATTCATTGGCATGATTCAGGAGGTGAGCATGCTGCCTGGGGCTGCACAGTCTGGCACTTGTGGGTGCCCTTGTGCTACACAGAGCGAGATCCAGGGTTGGGAGTGCTGTGGTTCGCTGGTACACCTGGCAGCCAAGCTGAGCTGGGGGTCGTGGCCATCCCATCAGGAAGAGGTGCCTTATTAAGCTGCAGTCTATTGCTTGGTAGATCCAGCAGGCAGCGGAGCGCTTGGAAAGGAACTTTGTGGACAGCCGCCAGCTGAAGGTGTGTGCCACGTGCTTCGACCTGTCGGTGAGCTTGCTCAGGGTGCTGGAAATGACCGTCACACTGGCACCCGAGATCTTTCTTGATTGGAATCGCCCATCGTCAGAGCTCCTGCTTCGGAGGCTCGCCCAGGTATTGTCCTTTTGTGAGGAGTATTGTGGGTATGGCAGTGGGAAGAAGTGTCCTCTGAAGGGGTACGGGTGGTCCCTCTGGCCTCTGTCCAGATGGGCTAGCTGTTTAAGTCTGTAAATAGGGGGCTTCTGCTGCAAATGCTTTCAGTACTTAAAGCTGTTTAGGCAAACCCAATTGCTGCAGAACAAGTGGTACTCCCTAAAATGACTGTGTGTTAGCTGCTCTCCTCTTTTGCAAGTAGTCTGACCATAGCTGATTTGTACCTCACCCAGGAAGGAGGAAGGTGGGCCCCGTGAATCTGCCTACAGACTAGCTCTGGCTAATTACTTCTGCCCAGTAAATGCTAAATGCTTCTGTGACAAGCAGTGGCCTGAAATCTGGAGAGAAGGCATGTTATCTCTTGCAAATTGCTACAAAAGATTTAGCTGGCTTCACGTGGCACTTGCTCCAGTGTTTGGGCTGGTGTCTTGATCCTTGGTCCTTCCGTCCTACAGTACAGTACCAAACTTCTCTGCTCTCCTGCCAGGGTGATCAGGACAGCCCCATCCTGATCTTTCGGATCCAGTGAATTAAAGTTTCCATTTCAAAATGCACCCTAGAAAGCCCTGAGGACATGCTGCCCTTTTGTGAGCCAGCCTGGTGTGGGTGTGTCATACATACTTTATTGAAAGGATTGGGTTGATCCATACCTTGGGCCATAAGCCTCAATGTAGCGAGTGCTGATGCTCTGAGCAGATGAGGCAAAACAAGACCCAGGCAGGGTGTAGCATAGCAATCTGGAGGGAAGCATTTGGCCTGGGCCTTTTTGTAGGGATCCCTACACAAATAGGAGAGTGAGGGGCCCTCTAGCACATGGCTTGAGGAAGTTGGGGAATAGCTAGCAGAGACCAGGCTGCCACAGCAACCTCCTCCCCCTCCTGGTGCTACTACAAAGCCGTCCTCCAGTGCTGAGCATGCCCAAAGCTGTGCAGCGTTTGCTGTTGATGCATGAGGGTGACAGGAGAAAGGGTGTTGCATCTAAGAGACTGCACACGGCTTGCAGCGGTTATGTCAAGTGTGGAATGGCCCCCACTCATCCCACTGGGGATTTGGGCAGGAGCTAATGGTGGCTAATTAAGTGCCTTTACAGTTGATTCCTTCAGTGCTGTTCATAGGCAGAAATCTCTGCCTGTGGTGATGCTCTGTCAAGCAGAGCAGCAGTTTACTCTCTGTGCACTTGTCCCATGCTTCAGGACTGGCAGGTCTGTCCTGCTGCCAGCTCCAGGTCAGGCAGGGCCCTTGCCTGGACTGTGGTCAGCTGCTGGCCATACCATTGCCTGCACTTCTCCCCACTGACAACTGCTTTTGTCTGAAGTGCAAAAGTATCCACCGAAGTAGCTTAGTATCTGTAGGTGGGATTCTTAAGTGGAGGATGCTTGGATTCAGTCTGAGATCAGCTTGATCTCAAACTCACTCTTCCTCATGAGATTTGGCTCTGGTAAAACCACTGTGGCACAATGCCACCTGCATCTGGACTGGGGCCCAGCTAGGACCATGCTGCAAGCCTGTGCGGACACACAGAAGGGAGCCTTGTCCAGCACCTTGCTTCAACCTTTCACCTTTCTGTGGGACCAGCGTGCACTTGCAGCTGTCCCTCCTGGCATGTGGCAATTTCTCCAGATTCTGTGTCAGGACATGACAGCCAGCGTTAGCTGATGCTTCAACTGTTGTAGCTCTGAAAAAAGCATATTGCAGAGCTGTTCAGTTCAGGGTAAAGATTTAGGAACTGTACAAAGGGGCAAATGTGTTAATTCCAAAAGTCCTCTATTAACTCTGTCTCTAACAAGCTTTCTCCACCACTGGAGGGGGAGCCAGCATCCAGCTGTGCCCAGACACTGAGCCTGCCATACAAAGCATGCTCTTTGGATGCTGCACACAGAAAGGTCTGTCCAGAAATAAGAACTCTATCTGCTTTTCCCCACACAGCTCTTGAACCAGGTGTTGAATCGTGTGACAGCAGAAAGGAACTTGTTTGACAGAGTGGTCAACCTCCGTCTGCCTGGTGAGTCCATGCATAAGCTCTCTGTCCTTCTCTTCCTATTGAAGACATACTGGAGGAATGCTTTTGGGAAGCAGAGGGTGGCTTGTACCCAAAGTCATTGCAGAGATGAATGTGATCAGCCCTCAGGCCTATCCAGTTAAGCTGAGTCCCTGACTGGGAAGCCTCTCTGGTCCTGCAGGCTGCCACAGCCTTTCCAGAAGTGCTATCTTCAGAAGACATGTAAAACCTCCAAACAGACATGAGCATTGTTGTTCTTTCTAGACCGTTAGCCTCTGTCTGCCCTCCTCAGTCCGCAGCAACTCTAGTTCCCTCTTGGATCTCTGCCCTCTCTATGTGAGCAACCTATGTGTGGGGCTTTCCATCTGCAGTGCAAATGGCAGCTGCACTGTACCTGGACATGGGAGATGTCTTGCTAGAGAGGAAAACTGATCTGACATGGAATGGATTGGAGATGTTCAAAAGGCTGAAAGCCCTGATCCCATTTCAGCTTAGATGATAGCAAACTTGGTTGCTGTTGTCTGCACTGAGCAGAGGGAGCACTGAGTTGCTGAAGGAAGCCATTCTCTGCCTAAGAAACCGAGATTAGCCCTCTTCTTCCTCATAGAGGTAGCTGTAGGTGGCTGAGTTGTGCCTGTGAGTGGAGACTGGCTCTAGATGCTGTGTTATGGGCATCCCAAATTTGCTGTGCACCAGCTGTGCACCTGGTGGGCACAGACCACCTTTTTTTTGGCAAGTCTTGGAAAAGGCAGGGATGCTCTCTAGCGGGAGCAGCAACTGAGGCTGTGTTAGAAGGGAAGACATCTCTGTCTTTGAGGAAACCCATGGCTCTGCTGCAGCCCACTGGAGAGCCAAAATCACAGTCTCCACTTCCTGAACTGCTCTGCCACCAAGTCTGGGAAGAGCAGTGCAACCCTGTCCTGCCTGCCACATGGTGGAAGTGTCTTTGTCTTTCTCTTGCCTTCATAGGGCTGGAGAGCGTGGATCATTACCCAATCCTCGTGGCTGTGACAGGAATACTGGTCCGGCTGCTTGTGGACACTGATGTTCAAGGGTGAGTGACTTTTGTCTTCTGAAACACCATGTTGCTATGCTTGGCACTGCTTTGGATGGCTGCAGCGGTCAGTACTGTGGGAGATGTTGCAGGAGCAATGTGGGTTCATGAAGACTGAAACGAGGAGAGGCAGGTGTGGTACAGTGAGCAGGCAGAAGCCAAGAAGCTGCATTCTCCTACAGCAGTTGCATCCCAATTCTACTACTGGTTGCAGAACTCCTCCCCATGGTGCAGGAAAGCCCCTGTACCCTTGAGAGGTTGCTATGAGGTGCTGTACTGATAGCATATATGCAACTTCCTCCCCAGAATGGGGTCTGGCACTGTATGCAACAGGAGAGCTGCTGTTGAAGACTGTGAATGCTGCATGTAAAAGAGTTGTGCTGATGCAGTGATGCAGGCAAAGTGCTGCAGCACATGAGACTAGATGTGGGAGTTGATTACAAGCTCCTCCACTCTAGCCACTTCTCGGGGAAGCATCAAACTGTGGGCAGAGCTCTCCAGCTGTCCAGACCAGTGGCAGAAGAGTGAGATGAAGCCTTTCTGGACACTGATGTGATGTTGATTTTCTAATGGACTAAATCTTCCTGTCTTTATGATTACCAGTTAGTGGCAGGACAAAGCCAGAGCTGACCTAATTTAGCATTTACGCCATGATCTAGTGTTGGCCATTGTCTCACTCTAAGTGGGAGGTTGGATTGGAGACCTCCAGGGATCCCTTCCACTCAGTATGCAGTGTTTTCTGACAGATAAAATGGTGTTCTCTGGACAGCTTCTTTGTGAACATTGAGCGCCCCAGGGAAAAGCAGAATTTTGTGGCTCCTCTGACCTTTTCCTCTGCAGTGCTTGGGTATTTCCAGGGGGGCTAGGAAGCATGAGGCACATCAGTCCCCTGGAGATCCTAAGGGAGATAAGAGCAAGGGGGAGAGGAATGTGATCCCAGATGATGACCCCATGCTGCAGAGCAGCCAGCAAAAATCTAGTTGTCCAGCCTGTTACCTGGCCATGATTGTTGGGTGCAGAGGCTGTTATGTATGAAACACTGCTCTGGAACTGGGGAGGTTTCTCTGGAAATTATATTTCCAGCAGGGTAAGATCACTGCATAGAACCCTTTTAGGCAAACTTTTCCTCATCTCTGGCATCTGTGCATTTGGCACACCGAAGGCTCATGTAATTGTGAACAGGACAGCCTCCCCAGGTCTTCACTGAAAATGCTGTCAGTGGAGCCATGGCTCAGACTTGAGGTCTGTTGACAGTTTACACGTGTCTGTGCCCTCTTGCGCTGCGTCCTGAAATTAGGCTTGGGCTTTGGTACCTTCTGCCGCCCTGCCGTTGCTATCTCCCAATGTTGTACACTTCTTGCCCTGCCACCATGCCCTATAGGGTGCTGTAGGAAACAGGGCTCTTCTGTCTGTGCTGCACATCCTGCCTGTTTTTGCATCTGGAGAACACGATAGTCTCTGGGTTTACAGAGAGCAGAGCCTCATCTGGCTGAGCAGTTTAGCCCTGTAGCCAGTCTTTCAGCTTCTTCTCTCAAGGACTCAAAGATATACACAAATAAATCTAATTATATCCTGCTGCACCAGTCACACAGCCCCAAGGGTGACAGTGTCAAGTGCTTAGCACACCGTCACTGATCAGTGGCCTCTCTGGGTTGTGAACATGGGTGGATTTTGCTCTCCTCCAGAATTCTGCTGTGTGGAAAGGGCAAAAGTTCTGAATTCAACTCCACAACTAGTTACTTCTTCCTGGAGGGAAGGGGAGATGTAATAAAGCAGATTCCTATATGCTGGGCAGGATGAGAAGTCCTTCCCTTCCTTCCTATTCCTTGAACATCTGTTCCAGGCCAGGTTATTTGCAAAAGAGGGGAAAGGATAAAAGTTCTTTCTCTGGCCCTCAGTTAGTTCAGCAAACTTCAGAAAGAACTAGGAAGATGGTAGTGTGATGAAGATCACATCATTCACAGCCTGCAGAGAGTCCTGGAGAGACAAAAGGCTTCCAGATTGTGTCTCCCTTGCCTGAAAAGCCAAGTGGGCTTTGGATTAGCAAAACCTGGGCAGCCAGTATCAAAGGGGCTGTAAATAGTCAAGCAGCACTGTTCCCCTTGTGCTAACGTCATCATCTGCAGGTGAGACAGCAGCTGGCCCCAGGATCACAAAGCAGAGGTGCTGTAACTTGTTGCAGGTAGTTGGGAAGTGGCAAGTCTCAGCCAAAGAATCAGGGGCCCTGTTAGTCACCTTCTTTGGTGATGAAAAGTGGACATAAATAAGAATCGGGAGACTGATGCGGGAAAAGCATCATCTCCTTACAGTGGGTGTAGCTGAGTGGGAGAAACACAAGGTGAAATAGGAGAAAGTCTAGGGAAAATGCTCTATAAAACAAAGTGCTTCTACATGATTTTGCAAAACCGTGCACTAAATCTGAGGTTTGGTACGTTACTATTTTGAGAAAGGCAGGCAAACATTGCAGAGGAGTTAATTAGCTCAATTAAGATGTAACAATACCAAGGCTGAGTGGCTTGGAGATCCTCCATCCTTACCAGAGCAGAGGGGCTGGGCAGCCTGATCGTAGAGAGAGATCAGCCCAATCACAGGCAGAGTAACTCACGTTGAAGGGAAAACTGAACCACTCGCCATCTCTACAGGACTCTCAATTCTGGCATGTTGGCTCAGGCACAGTGTGAGTGTGGTACCCTGCTTCTGGCGTGGTTCTGCTCAGTGCAGCTGCATTCAAAAAGGGCAAACAGGAACAGAATGGAAGGAAAAAAGCAGATATGAGAGAGAAAAAGCAGAGACTTTTCTACTGCCTTTGTGATCCTCAAGGATTTGTTCCTGTTTTGATCCTGTATGCAAGCTTGGTTGCACCATCTCCATAGGATGCTGTAGGGCTGGATGGTATTTGAGGAAGTGCAACTAAGATAAGCAGAAACCTGCAAGGACATTGCTCCAGTCTCTACCCCACAGTTACCCTAAAGCTGGGGGGGATGATACAGATCAACAACGACTGGCCCAGAACAGGGGAATCGGAAGTGTCTCTCTCCAAGCACACAAGTAAGAGGATGGTCCGTGGAATGGAAAAGTAGAATTAAGAGCTTCCTCAAGTCAGTATTCTCCCACAGCAGATGATTGCCTTGGGTCTTGTAGGTGTAGGAAGTAACTGAACAGATTTAAAGGATCTGACAGGTAACCAGACTCTCCAGATCAGACCTATTTTATATAAACTCAAGAGGAGACATCTTTCCTTCTTGGTACTCCCTCTTTTCTCTCAGTGTAGCGAGCAGGATAACAGGATAGGCAAATGCTTCTGGGGCTTTTTTCCTCCCTCAGAAGCACCTGAGCAGTGTTGGAAGCAGGTAGAAATTTCTTCTGGGTCCCATTTAGTAGTTGGTGGATTTCCACATATTTAGTCAATAGTAAAGAGAGATTATACAACTCAGACCTGCTTATGGGAACTTCTTTATGGGAATTACCTAAGATGATGGCTGTTAACTGGATTAGTTCACTGCAGGGAGGCTCTGCCACGGAGGATGAGGACCACGGACAAGACCTCATGTGACTTCCATGGTTTAGGGGTAGCTTTTCTGGGCTTGGGATAGGAACCTCTCTCAAGTTTCAATGTCTGTAACCCAGCCACAGAAGCAAACTTCACCCTGTGCCGGACACTTGGTTAAAAGGCCTGCAAGCTTTGCCTTGGGGCAGAGAGCACAGATTCATCTGGGAGTGGAAAAAAAAAAAAGGTCCTATTTTGGGAGCAAAATGCCCCAGTGGGGAAGACTGGGTATACTGGGACCTGGGACCTTGTGTAGTGCCAGCCTGGAGCCCTCCAAACACAGACTCATCCAGGAGCACTATCAGGATGCAGTCTGATGCTTCAACTGCTCCTTGCCCAGCACAGGACACTCAGCCAGGCATCAAGTCCTCTTGTTACAGAGTCCTGGCATGAAACAGAGCCATTAAGCACAAATAAAGGGAACATTGCCCAGGCTAGGATGCGATGAGACAATTGATACATCATATGAGTTAGTCCAGGGATAGAGCTGAGTGTGCTTTTGAGAAAGAAGAAATGCATTTCCTTGTCAAGTCTGGCAGGACTGCTGATGCTGGTCATGATGAACTAGAATTTCAGTGCCTTTCTTGTCCAGGCTTGCCGTTCTTTATAAAGCCTCCTGGGGTCACTGTTAACACAACTCCCAAATGCTTGCTGGGTGCTACAGGGGGGAAAGGAAAACCTTGTGTTGAGACCAGTCACATGGAGTGTCCTTAGAGAGCAGATGGCTTGAAGAAGAGGGGAGCTGGGGGATATCATGTCTTGTCTCACTCATGGGAGATGTAATGAGACATGCAAACAGGGTCAGGGGAGCGTTAGCGTAAGGCACAGTTTGGAAGCCTGCTAGCTAGACTTGGGGGGTGGGGGAGAGGGTCTCTTGGCAGAGGGTGGTTCCCACAACAGGAATGTGGTAACTGGCCCATGTTTCAAAGCAAAGCAAGTGCCTGATCCTAAAGGCCTTGCTGGGAGGTAGCTGAATATCTTCAACTGGCGAGAGCAGTCCAGCTTGGCACTGGCAGCTAGGCTGTCTCATAAAACAGGCAACACCTCCTTGTTTTGAGACTACTTTGGCCTCCATAATGGTGTTTTGGGACTTCTCTGTAACATTCCCTGACATCCTGCCCCCCCCCCCCAAGGCAATCAGCCCTCAGGTCTGACAGTGCATTCATTTTGCAGCCCTTCATTGAGGGGGTGTCTTAGTGCCCGGCAGGGGGATGGCCAGACAGGGATGCCCTTACTCTCTGTGTTTTGCCAGGCTCTAATGACTAAGCCTTGTTTTCATGGGGAGGAGAGGGAGAGCAGGAGCTGGCAGGCTGAGCCATAAGTTGGTCTGAATTGTTGGGTCCATGCCAGAGACCCTGGCTGCCTTCAGCTGGTATCATCCCCCCGTTTGTCTGCTAAATAATTGAGTAGGTTTTTCTATTAAGCCTCCTTTGGAGTGAGCTAATGGAGCAGTGTTGGCCAGGGTGAGAGCTTGTGTAATGATCCTGATGAGAGCTGGCAATAAGGAAAGGGGCAAGGCCTGAAGTTGGGGCTGTTGGTCCCCTATGTGCACATTGTAATTAGGACTGGGCTGATAGGTTGGACTTGTTTCCAACCTTCTTGCTTGTCCCTGGGCACAAATGGTGGTGTTGACCCCTGCTGGGCTCCTCACTCCTTCTCTGCCAGGCCTGTGCCCCAGGACAGCCCTGTGGAAACTGAGTGACCAGAGCCAGAGTCAGAGATAGAGAGTTCCACTGGACAGAAATAGCACCTCCAGCAAGTGGGAAGCTCAAGGAAGGCAAGCAGGTGTGAAGCTGCACATGGTGGGCAGGCTGAGCAGGTTCTATTCAATCTCAAGATGGTTTCATAGTCACCCCCCTCCCCCCCATTGGAGAAGTTAAAAAAAAAAAAAATCCCAATTTGCAGGTTGCTAACTCAGCCTGGATGCCTACCATAGCAGCTGCAGCCCTGCTGGGACCCTGAAGGCTTGGCTGGTTTTCTGTGGGCATGGTACTTCTCTGCAGTCCTGTAGGAGTCTACCAATCATTTCACAGAATCACAGAATCACAGAATCACAGAATCGTTTAGGTTGGAAGGGACCTCTGGAGATCATCTAGTCCAACCTCCCTGTTCAAGCAGGGTCACCTAGAGCATATTGCCCAGGATCACATCCAGACGGGTTTTGAATATCTCCAGCGAAGGAGACTCCACCACCTCTCTGGGCAACCTGTTTTCCTAAATGCTAATGCGCCTTCCAACACTTAGTGATAAACAAGCTATGTTGGAGGTGAGGTGCAGGAATAGACATTTCCTGGACCACTCAGTCTAAAGGAATCCTTGCTACCCTGCCCTAAAAACACAGAAAGTGAGTGGTACTTGAGTCTTGCAGAATGTAAAGTATTGGGGTGAGTGTGAGTCAGAGCAGGGTAGAGTGAATAGGTCAGGCCTAGTTTTCATGGTTAAAAAAGAGTCTGGTTTACTGAGCTTACTGTTTTTACAAGCTGCCAGCTCTGAATGCAAAGTCCTGGGCAATGGGATCAGCAAAGGCTGGGATCTCCCACATCCCCTTCGAGCTACTGGGCACACACTGGGTGGTGGGAGCAAACATCATGCTGGCAAGCAGCAAACTTTATTTTTTTGATAAGTTTGTAAAACAATGAGCACCTTAAGGAAAGGCTTCAGATCCAGTCTTGTGCATCGCATATCCATCACCAGCAGCAGGAGGAAAGGCAGATCTGATGGCTGTGCCGAATGGAGAGGCATTCACCATGCCCGCTTTGCCCTAGCTGAGATCTGAAGTGCTGGGGAGAGAGGAGTCAGCGCTGTGACTGAGACAGTGCCAAAGTGGCAACTGGTCCCGAAAGCTAGTCCTTCATCCCCACAGACTTGGGTCTTTGCGTGCCTGGGACACTGTGCATTGTGCTGACCCTTTACGCTCCAGAGTCAAGGAGCAGGAGGCTGTCGTTTGGCAGTGAGCCAAGGCTGTAATGGTGCAGATGGCTGCCGAAGGAGGATAGTGTATTCCTAGGGGACCATCCATTACATTTTCGAGCTCCTGTCTGTCAGGGAGACTGTGCTCATGGCTTTGTTTTTCCTTGCTGAGATGATTTGCCATAAAGCCTTTCAGGCTGCTTAATGAACTGCTTTGCCAGTTCTCTGCCTTGCTCACTGGAGCAGCAGTGTGGTTCTGGGTCCTTTTTCCAGCTCAGAAAAAAAGCAGGAATTTCCTTGAGAAGCAGGGAGCCCTTGGGAGAGGTGCCTAATACAAACCTTGGATATAACCATCCTCAGCGTAGTGGGGATCAGCCTTGCTCCGGGGATAGACGTATTGCAGGCAGCCTAGAAGAGCTCTTCTTGTCCTCGGCTGGTATATGACAGGACAGGCTCTCCTGTGCTTTGCTTACATTGTAATTAGCCTGGGCTTTCCTTGAGTTTGAGTTAGCATGGGCTTTTCCCGAGTTTTAGTCCTGAGCAGTTTCTGCTGAAGATGCAAGTTTGCAGGTGCTCTAGACCTTGGGAAGCTAATCTTAGCGTGAGAGAGTGGGAAGGTTTGCAAGGAGACCTACAAGGCTGGCAGGAGAAAAGCAGCAGTAGCTAACATCTCACAGCATAGCTCCTTCAAGCACCTGGACAGTGGAGCAGCACCTTGCCCCACCAGCCTGAGGAGGTGCTGGCAATGTTGGGCCTGGCCACACATGCCCAACTCTCCAGCAGAGGCCTCTGCTGGGGTCTCTCCTTTTGGAGAGAGACGCAGCACTTGGAGGTGATACGTGCTTCAGGCTAGCTGCGGCTTTGCTCTGTCCCATGTGGACTTGGCACCATCTCCACAGGCGCCAGTGATGCTTGGGAGCAATGCCCTCATGAGGTTGGGACCTGGATCCTCTGTGCAATGTCCCAGCTCTTTCTCAATGCTCATTTCTGGAGACTCTGACAGCCACCCTGGGATGAATGATTGCATACCTCCTGTCTTAGCACATCTCTAGGATGTTTTTTCCAGGCATGGGTGGGACTCTGAGGCAATTAATGTAGCTAAAGCAGCAGGAGGTTGCTGGATTCCCCAGCAGATGATGGAGGAATGCTTTTGCACAAGCAAAGCAAGAGCTGCGAGAAGATTCCCCTCTGAAAAGGCTCGTCCTCGAAACTAAGGGTGGGGGGAGAGGGATTCAAATCATCTTTCCAGTGGGATCCCTGCCTAGGTGCAAAGCCATGGGATGGTACTGCCTCAGCTCTGTCCTCGAGGGGCTGGATGCTGGGCCAGGCCACTTATTTAGCCATCCGACATTGCCTCCCTGCTGACAAAGCACCTTGCCATCTCCCAGCAGCGCCCTGGCATACCCAGCTGGCTCGATGTCCTGGGGTTGTCAGGAGCCCTGTGCTAATGTGAGACAGCAGGGCTGTTGGCGGCCAGGACGTGAAGTAAAGGTGCAGGCCAGTGACACTTGTCACTCTGCATCCTGTCGTGTATCCCAGCTGCCAAGCAGCGTCCCAGGGCCGTGCAGCAGCTGGGCATGTATTGCATGGAGCTGCCGGGGAGGGGCGGAGGAGCAATCTGTGGCGGGAGGCAGATTGAAAAGCTGTGGTTATCTCAGGATAGCTGCTCTCACAAACACTATCCTCTCCTTGGATGGATGGGGAATTTCTGACAGGCAGAATGACTTTGAGCATGGTTGACTTTTTGCTGGAAAAAAGCCACATGTTTCATTGCTGAAAGAGCTGAAGGACAGTCACTAGCCCCGGCTAGAAGGTTCAAGTGCAGGAGAGGCAGGGTGATACTGCAGACAAGGAAGAGCAAGAAAAAAAAGCCTTCCAATATCACAGACCTGTGATGGGGCATTGCCGCCGCCAATGGCTCTTGGGAGGCAAGGTGCAGGGCTGTGGGGAGCTGCATGTTGTGGGAAGGTCTGCAAAGAGTCCTGCTCCTGATTTGCACCATGCAGGTTGTGTCAGAGCTGGGATCCTGCCTGCAGCAGATGGCCCGGGCATCCTTTGTGGCACAGGTGACACCTGCCCATACTTGCTACACCTAAGGAGTGGGTGGTGGTAACTGGCAGATCAAGAGAATCCAAGCTCTACTTGGCCCTGGCAAGGTCCTGCCTGAAATACTGCATCTCCCTGGTGACCTCACCAGGGAGGTGAGGCGCTCACAAAATGGTGCAGCCCTGAGCTAGGTGCCTGCAGAGGTGGTGTATCTCCATCCTTGGAAGGTTTCAAGACAGCCAAAGACAAGGCCAGATGGAGCCTATTGCTGGCAACAGTCCTGCTCCAAGCGGAGGTCAGATAAGAGGTCTTTCCCACACGTGCTGGCAATTTGCCAGGGCAGCATGCGTGGATAGCAAATGTGCGTGACACCCCCCCCCC